GGCCCCTGGTGTAACCAAGTACACAAATCATCCTGGAAATATGGCATTCCATTGAAAAGCTTCTTTCTCCAGGACCTCCTGCAGTGCCGGACTTTGACAACGGACAAAGAGAGTCAAGATTGGCTGAGACGCAGGGATTCGTCGTTCCCGACGGTCTTGATAATTAATGGCTACATAGACTCTAAGTTGTATTAAGTTGATTACTAGGCGGATGCAGGGCTCGATGGTGATGCAGGTTTGAAACTTGGTGGAGCTAGCCTTTGCCAAAAAAAATAAGTAACACAACGCAGATAGACAGGTCTAAGACCAGAAACTTGTTTGCAACAAACGGCAGAAGTACACTGCTGCCCAGGAAATAGCCACAGAGAAGACAAAGTAGACCTTGTGATGTGGTGTGTATCCTTTCCAGGTTCTGCCTTCTCCAACATGCACTCGAACAAATAATGTTCGACCGGAGAGTTTGTTGCATGACCTTTCACAGAATTTATTCTTGCCTAAACTCCATTCGTCTGATTTTGAACCCTACGTTCTAAGCTCATCATCTAGCAAATATGCCAAATGCACACTTGAAACCGCATGGTTCACCAATGTTCCGAGACAAAAACATGGATAAGGTTTCGGTGTTCTTTGTCGCCGGACATACAAACATGCAGTTGCATGTCGTGGGGCTCGAAGATGCAAAAGACATGCTCCAGAGTGTAATATTTGTTGCAGAGGTTTCTTAGGCTCCACCAAAAAAATTGGTTTGCGCTTGAAATGCGCTTGGTCTGCGCTTGATCTGCGCCTGGCTTTGCCCACTGAAATATTGGTATGCGCTTGGTCCGCGCTTGGTCTGCGCTTGGTCTGCGCCGTGTTTAGAAATGCATGCGCTCGCAGTGGCATTATCCAAACATTTTTGACTATTATGTCTCTTTCAAGTTTTGAAATAGATGTAGATCCTTTCCATTCGGTAACTTGTTACATGTTGTGCCTTGCTGTTATGGAGAGTAAAAACTCGCCAAAGCTTTTGCACTCATACATCCTCACAGGAATTTAGCTTTTTAAGCACTTTGGCATGATACTGTATGTGGCAGATGCTATGCATTTCCTTGCACTTGCACTTCCCTTGTTTATGATCATGTTCAAGTCGGTCTGCATTTGCTCTCCATTGTACTGAATTCCATTGCTCTGCACTTGGTCTGCGCTTGGTCTGCGCTTGGTCTGCGCTTGGTCTGCGCCTGGTCTGCGCCTGGTCTGCGCCCACTGAATCATTGGTCTGCACTTGATCTGCGCTTGGTCTGCGCTTGGTCTGCGCTTGGTCCGCGCTTGGTCCGCGCTGGTGTATACCACAGGCCGTGAGAGCATTTTAAATGATATTAGGTATGTTTGAAATCTGCAAGTCAGACACTCTTTGTTTGCATAGTGTTTGCATTTGTGCTGCTCTGGCATGACTTTATCAGTGACTCAGCAGTTCACCATTACTTCTACTTCAGATAAGCAAAGCCAACTAGTGTGCTATGTTTCCGGCTTCATGATCGTGTTTTTTTATGCAACAAAGCAAAAGCAGGCTGCAAGCACAGTATGCCATTGATAGAACAACTTCGCAATTAATTCATTGACATTACTTCCTCCTTTCAACAAACCACATGGATAATTTCTTGTGGTTTGCTTCCTATAAAGTTCAACGACAACATGTGAAGATTGGTTTGCGCTTGCTTTGCGCTTGGTCTGCGCTTGGTCTGCGCTCGGCTTTGCCCACTGAAACATTGGTCTGCGCTTGGTCTGCGCTTGGTCTGCGCTTGGTCTGCGCTTGGTCTGCTGTGGGTCTAGAAATGCATGCACTCGGTGTAGAATCCAAACACCTTTGTTTATTATGCCCATACAAAGTTTTGAAATATGTGCATTTATTTTAGGTTTTGTAACGTCTTGCATGTCGTGCCTTGCTCTTATGGAGAGTTGCGACTCGCCAAAGCTGTTGCATTCATGCCTCTTCACAGGAATCTAGCTTTTTAAGCACTTTGGCATGATACTGTATGCTGCACATGCTATGCATTTCCTTGCACTAGCATTCCTCTTGTTCATGGTGATGTTCAAGTCGGTCTGCATTTGCTCTCCATTGTACTGAATTCCATTGCTAAAAAAATTGGCTTGCGCTTGGTCTGCGCTTGGTCTGCGCTTGGTCTGCGCCCAATTTTGCCCGGTGAAACATTGGTCTGCGCTTGGTCGACACTTGGCCTGCGCTTGGTCTGCGCTTGGTCTCTGTGGTGAAGACCACTGGCCCTGACAGCATTGCACGTGCATGATACCACATATGTTGCAATGTGCAAATCATGTATTTTTTATATGGATGGTGTTTGCCATTGCGGCTTTCTTGAGTGACTCAATAGTCTTCTATGCATTGCCGTTTCTTTCTGGATGCATGAGAGCAATGCAGACAATGCAGCTGATCTGCTATTATGGTTCAAACTTAATGGTCGTTTGTCCCTGTGCAACCAAGCATCGGGAGGCTTGAGAAACAACATGCCGCAGACAGCTCGGGTTTGCAATTCGTGTTAGAAGCATATAAGGTGTTGAAGCCAACTCACAACGAGCCCGAAAAGAGTGACATCAGCCAGAACGATGGGCTAATGTGGTCATTGCAACCCCTGCTGATTTCAAGCAACACGGTTATATCTCACAGAGTGCCCTCCCCATGACTACGGCCAAATGGTCTAACCGGAGTAGGGCATCGTGCAGATTGGGGGGCTTTCTGTTTTGTTGCCACACCCGCAGGACATCACATCCGCAAATCCACCCAGAGAGTTTTTCCCAGACACACACGCTGGACCATTGCATGGTCTTCATGGTGTTGCAGCCTCTACTCAAACAATTAAGCTCAAGATGCGGACACCGCATCACAAACACATTTTGATCTTTGGGTGTAAAAACTAAGCACCTGACAGAAACGATGCGACGCTGCAGAAATAAGCCCTGCACCTAGTCTTTTCTTTACGTTGGCATTCTTAACTTTTGCTCCCATGTTGCTTTGCATGCGGCCAAAACGATGCCACACAACCCTCAGAACCGACCCTCGCCCAACTTGAGCCGCCAAGAGACACAAGGGGTACGGGTATCCCTGCCATACGCCCTTCCCCGCCTATGGTGGTCCCCAATCTAGGGCTTTAGGGTTTAGGGTTTAGGGCTTTAGGGTTTAGGCTTTAACTTATTGGCTGTAAACTCAACTTTTCAACTTTTGAGGCTCTTATAAGGTAGTCGACTCTGAAAGTTTCAACTTTTGTTTCCTTGGGTGTTGGGCCAGTGAGTTAAAGGTCCAGGGCTTTAGGGTTTAGGGTTTGGTGCTTTAGGGTTTACAGGTCTAGGGCTTCAGGGTATCTGGGTTTGCGGGTTTTGGGCTTTAGTAGGGCTTCAGGGCTTTGGCGCCCAGGGTTTAATTAGTGTTTCAGGGTTCTGGAGCTTGGGTCCAAAGCTCCCAATGGGAGTTTAGGGGTAAGCGTCTTCATTATATAGGTAGTTGTCAAGATTAGAATGCCTTTGGGTCCCTCTTTTTGATACGGCACCTAGTATTTAGGGTACCCCAAAAAGGGACCCTAATTCTGACAACCACCCAGATGGGTTCTAGAACGCTTCAAAAAAGGGACTCTTAGGCTTCGGAATTCGGGGTTTGGGGGCTTCCCTGGGTTCGAGGTCATAAGTAAGGTAACTATACTTATAACCCATACGGTTGATGATATAAATCCTGCATTGCCTTCAGGACCCTAAAGTATGGGAATTATGGTATATTCCTTGTTATGGGTAATGCAGGATTTATATCATCAACCGTATCAAGGACTTATAAACCCCCACTATAACCACCCCTGAGGTTTCAGCGGGCTGTAGCAACGTTCCCTAGACGATCTCTGGAGCCTCATAGGGCTTTTCGGTGGTGAAATCACATGCTAGGATTTGCAGTTTTAAGGCTTAGTGTTTGGAGCTTAGGGTTCGTAAGGTTTGGGTTTTGGGCTTCGTGATGAAAAACAACTAGCAATACTATTCCCTTATCGTGTGTGTCTCCCTCTCTCTCTCTCTCTCTCTCCCCCTATGTATATACATACATATATATATACACACATACACATATATATACACACACACAAACTTATGCAAATATGTACCCTTGTTCTGCTTTTTCAGCCCAGCAGCTCCCAACGATATTGAGCTCCGCCCCAAACTCTGCACCCTATGAAGCCGAAGCCGTTTAGCCCATGGCCGCGAGGTTTCACCCTACCCATAGGCCCCAAAGTAGTTCCTTTTGGGGACTACCTGAAAGAATTCTACAAATGAACCCCCAAAAGGAACTACTTTGGGGCCTATGGGTAAACCCAAGACTTCGTGTTTTGGCGGTTTAGGGTTTAGAGCTCTAGGGTTTTCGGGGCTTCAGGGCTCAGGGTTTAGGGTTTAGGGCTCTAGGGTTTTTGGGGGCTTTAAGGCTTTAGGGATTCGGGAGCTTAGTCTCCATGTTGGTTCCTTTTTGGGGGTTTACCATATAAGATGACAGGCTTCGGTCAAAAGCCCAGCCCCACGAAGCGCCAAGAAAGAGAAGAAGCATCTGAGATTTAGCTGAACCTACCAGAACCTACTTTTCTGTAGGGGCCCTATAAATCCCATACTAGGGTTTATAATAAGAACCTACAAAAAAGTAGGGTTTAGATCTAGGTAGGGCCCAGTAAGCAGTGTACCGTCAAGCTTAAAAAACACTGCTCGAAGTCACCGGAGCTCAAGGCCCACCAGAAGGCCTGCGTTGCAGACTCTGAGCGTCAAACCTTCCACAAGTCCTAGGCAAGATGAGCTTTGGTTATTGCAGATGAATCTGGAAAGTTCGCATCTTCTGTGTATACAATTAAACCATGCAATTCCTAAAGCTCGAACTCTCAACCCTAGGCCATCGTCCCTAGAAGATGAGCCCTCAAGGCCAAAGCCTCAAGCCTGAACCCAACCCCAAGAGCCTCTGCGGAGCCTGAAAGCCGGACTGTCAGGTAACCCGCATGGGCCACAGCAAGATGCTGAACACCTTCGAGGCACCAGCATCACCATCACCACCGCCATCATCATCATCATCATCACCAACATCATCCTTAACCTTTCCCAGGGTTTAGTTTGACTGTGCATATTACACTTGCCCTTTGTTCCAAAGGCAGAATCAACTGATTCCAGAGGCATCATCATCATCATCATCTGATTCAGTACACCCATTCTCATGCTAAGCCGCTTCTTGTTCGCGAGCCGTTACTATCACTCGTGGCATCACAGCCAGCAAGAACAGTCCTGACCAGGTGTCCTTGGACCAAGGAAAGCCAGTGCTGATCGAGAACATGGGCGAAGGCTCGCTGAGCCCTAGGATTTTTTTCAAGCCCTACTCCTTTAACCCCAAACTATCTTTATAGGAGCCTGAATCCCTAGACGGAGTCTTCAGCCCTATTCCCCAAACCCCAAACTATCCCTATAGGAGCCCGAAACCCAAAACCCAATCCCGAGGAGTCTAGTTACCCATGTGGTAGTATAGGGGCCTTAATAATAAGTACCACTACCATTTCGTGCTGTTCCTTATTATAATTATAGTATAATGGGCCCCGGGGCTGGGGTGGCTGAGCCTTAAATCATGGCAGCGAGTTCAGCTCCCCATGTGTAAGGCTACGATTCCTTAAGCCCCACAAGCCTTAAACCCTAAACCCCCCCATACCCCGAAATTCAAGCAACCGGGCCCAGGACAAGCCGGAAGTGTGTGCAGTTTAGGTTTCAAGGATTAGGGCTTTCTGGTCTTCTGCATCTTGTCAAACCAAGCACAGCCATCAACCCCAGCATGTCGAAGTCCTTGCAATCCACTGCACCCGTAGCCATTTAAGTCCCTTTTTTTCCGAATCTCTTCCCGGCTCATGATGCTGGCTGAGCTTGGTGGGTATGGTTTACGGTGTCGGGTTCAGGCTAATTTGCCTCCGAATGCAGGAATCGACGCTGTGATCATGCCCGTTGTGTCCCGCAACACCATCAAGCGCGGTAGCTTGCTCCGCAGAAGCAGTCTCTTCCTTGAGCGGCTGGCTGGCTGGCTCAGAAGGGAGTTTCCCAAAATTAGGGGTACCTTGTTGTGGGGTCCCTATAAAAAGGATCCTACTAGATTAGGGATCCCCCTTCTCGGAAACCCCCAGAACTTACTTTAAACTTAAGCTTCGAAGATCGGGCCCAATGGATGACTTAAAGCGCGAAGAGCCCTTCATCAAACTTCTTCCGGAGCAGACATCGCTTCACCTCCCGCACCCCTGCCCGCCACAGAAAGCGGGCAAGAATCCGCTTTGCAGGCGAAAATATTCTTTGCACTCTGGTATCATGATTCTTCTTGTTGCTCCTCCCATTTTGTGTACGTCCTTCTCTTTTGTGGGCTTGAGATCATGCTCCGTTTTGCCCTTGCTGTAAGCCGCCCCTTATGGCCCTCATGGCCGTTTCCGTTTTGGGGAGGTCCCTGCGGTACTATTCTGGGGACCAAAACAGGGACCCAAACTTAGGCCACCCGGAGCCCAAAGGATCTCTGCTTTGGGGTTCAGGTTTTATGACGGTTTAGGGTTTAGGGTTGGGAGGGTCTTACTCATAACCTTGAATCCTAAAGCCTAAACTCTAATGTATGGCTAAGCCCAATGATTATCATTCCTGAAGTAGGTTTTACAGCCCTTAGGCCCCGGATCCAAAGATCCTGAAGCCCTCCGCATGAGTTTAGGCCGTTTGGTTTGGAGTTTCAGGGTTCAGTGTCCGGCTTGGGTTTCAGGGCTCAGGGTTAAGTTTGCACTTGTTTTGGGCTTTGGGGATTTCGAGGCTTGAGGGCTCAGAGAGACTGCTACGCCTCAATGAGGGTCCGAAGAGTAATACCTCTCGCAGAAATCCGATCCGTGCAAAATCTCCTAAATCCTAGTCCCTAAGCCCTGTAAACCCGAAACCGTAGCCTCGAACGCAGAAGAGCTTTTCTCTGGAGACCGTGGAAGATTCTTGGAGAAGAACTTTATGAGGCCTCCCAGCGCTCTTCTAAAAGCCTTTAGAGTTTTGTGTTTAGGATTTTGAGTTCAGGGTTTCGGGTTTAGGATCCAGAGTTTAGTGTTTAGGGTTTAGAATGCGAAGCCCTAAACCCTGAAGCATGTAGGATGGACACATAGACTGAGGAAACAAGAGGCTGGTGAAGCTCGGGGACAAGGAGATCACTTTGAGCGCCCCTGGGTCCTCACGACATCCCGCAAGGATTTCGGAGCTTTGTGTGTGGGGAGTGCGGTTTCGGGATTTGCAAAGGGCTCAGGGTAGCTCATAAGCATGTCATGTGGGGTGGTTATTGCTAGTTCGGACGGCTAGCAGTAATCTTGCGGATTACCCCATTTTATACATGCTAATGGGGTCAGTTTGGGTTGGGGTGTCGAAAGGCTGAGTTCAGAGTTTACAATAGGGTTTAGGTATACTTTGGGATTTCCTTACACAAGTCTTTATATAAGAATCCGTGTGGACCTCGGGGGACGTTCATTTCATCGCAGAGGACCAGATGAAGAGAGTTACCAAAAGGGAAAACAGTGGTTGTAGGACTTCCGTCTGAGCCACGACATAGGGTCTTTTAGGGCGACCGGTGTCACTGGGAGTCCTTCAGATGAATCACTACTGTGCGGTAGTGCTTATGGCTCCAGCGGTGTGAGGCTTAGAGTTCAGAGCGTGCAGCGGCTAGTTTACAAAATCTGGAGCCGAGGTAGTTACCACACTTCGACCCTGAAATTAGGGCCTGTGAGTAGCAAACTGCACGGTCGCCAAGAACAACTTCAAGCTCTTCATGCAGACGAAGTTGTCGAATCCGCACTACCCACCTGAGATCCAGGCGCTATAGCACCGGGGTTTAGAACCTGGGGCATTTACAATATATATATATATATATATATATATATATATTATAAAATATTATAGGGGTTTTGCAAAGTTACTTCTGCAGATTGGCCTTGAGGCTCTTGGCCCGGGAGGATGGTCTGGGATTTGAGGTTCAGTCAGAACCCATGTGGTTAGTTGTCAAGATTATGGTCCCTTTTTGGGTCCATATTATAGTACGGCGCCTAATATTTAGGGTACCCAAAAAGGAGACCATAATTTTGACAGCCATCCATGTAGGGCTATGAGGCTTAAGGTTTTGCCTTCCCCCTGAACTCGCAAGTCTCTCTGGAAAGTCGAATCTGTCTAGCTGCGTTTTGGGGGTAGTGAGGCTTGAGTATTACAGTATTCGGGGTTCAGCTCGGGGTTTGGGGGCATCGAAACTCACACCGTCAGGCTCCAGGGTGCGTGGTCTTGGGGTTAAGCGCAGGGATTGCTCCGGAGTCCGAGACATGCCACTTTGCCCCGACACCCAAACCAGACAAAACCGACCCTAAAAGCCATAAGCTTGAAGAAAGATCTGAGCTCTAGAGCTTTGGATCTCTTGTGAGTTGAGTTTTAGGGCTTCGGGTTCGGGTCTTAGGGCTCTCAGGGGGTTTGCAGAAATGACAGGAAACCGGGATCCGTCGCGGAGTTGAAGTCTAAATCTTATCCCAGGGTACCTTCCTCGGCATCCAGGGCGGTCCCATAATACTGACAGGTCTGGTTTACGGTGTATCAGGTAACTGTACTTATAATTACTTATAATCCCAATTAAGGTACTTATAACCCTACTTACTAAGTCCCACGATCCTCCAAGTAGGGGCTATAATAACCCCATTAAGCTCCATGATAACCAGATGCAACTCTGGAAGTTCAGGCACGACCTAGACTTCGAGAGCCACGTTTTTGGGTTTAGGGTTTAGGGTTTAGGGTTTAGGGTTCCAAGAAGGGGATGGGCTTCTCTACAGTTCCGGAACCGAGAGAGACCTATGGGTTTTGGGCTAATCAGTGCTTTTGTTGGTTTTCTGAGGGTCGGGGTCTAGGATTTTAGGCTGGGGTGTCGGTGTTCAGGATTTTCAGGGCTCAGGGTTTTGCATGGGTTTACAGACTGTCGATTACGGCGCAGGCCGAGTGTACCATCATCAATTTCACCGTCACAGAGGATGGCACCTTGGCAGAAACCTCCATCATGTGGAGCTGCAGGGATCAGTAAGCTACTGCTCAGTGCCTGTGTCGCACGGATGGGCTGCTGATGCTGCTCGTGCTGCTCCTTCTCCTCCTCCTGCTGCTGCTGCTGCTACTACTACTACTACTACTACTACTACTACTACTACTACTACTACTACCACTACCACTACCACTACTGCTATGACGCCTACTACTACGACTACTACAACGGCTACGACGACGACTGAAGCCGACGACTACAACTGCAACTACTGCAATTGCTTGTGCCACCACCGCCACCGCCATCACCACCACCACCACCACCACCACCACCACCACCACCACCACCACCACCACCACCACCACCACCACCACCACCACCACCACCACCACCACCACCACCACCACCACCACCACCACCACGACCACGACGACCACGACGACCACGACGACCACGACGACCACGACGACCACGGCCCCCGCCGCTGCCACCGCCGCCACCGCCGCTGCCCCACCGCTGCCGCCGCCAGCCCAACCAGCAGCACCACCACCGCATTCCCTTGGAGCAGTGCACAACTGTAGCTTGCTTGTAAGACTTGGTCCCGTGTGCCCTGAGGTTTTGAACATTTATTTCATTCGACATAAACATCAATGCCCAAAGCCTCACAGCCAAATTTTGCCAAAAAACCAAAACTTTTTTGCTGAAGCCGCAAGCCCCATTACTCCTGTGAATCCTGCTATAAAGCCCTGCCACAAGGCCCGCAGCAAGCCCGCATATAACTGACTGACAAGCCCTTCGAAAGCTTAGCGTTTATGCAACCTTCTGAAGACATAAGCACCCGGAGTCACCTTCAAGGCATACAAACCCCACGCCTAAACCCTGAACCCTGAACCCTAAACCCTAAACCTCTAAATCCCTAAGCGCCTAAACCCCTAAACGCTAAACACCCGGGAAGGTCTTGAGGACCAGCTGCTGTTCCTGGTGGTGAAGCTGGAGAGGCCGTGAGCTCGGGTGTGGGAAGGCCCCTACCACTGATGGTCTGGGGCTCCGGGCCGAGGGTTAGGGTTAGGGTTTAGGCTTTAGGGTGTAGGGTTTCAGGTTTAGGGGACCGACTTTTTTGGAAGTGCTCTGGGGTGTAGGGTTTCAGGTTTAGGGGACCGACTTTTTTGGAAGTGCTCTAGGGTGTAAGGTTTCAGGTTTAGGGGGCCGACTTTGTTGGAAGTGCTCTGCTGCTTGCTACAAAACAAGCCCGCACACAGTCAGGACTGCAACAGCCACATCGAAACTGTCGGCTGAAGATACTGCTTACCTGGATTACCAGGACCCTATGAAACCTACCTTTTTCAAAGTTTAGGGTTATTTAGGGTCACGGCAGTTCCTGAGCCATGTGTCCGAGGCTCCACACTCCCTGACTTAGATCCCCAATACCTATCCTTTAAACTTTTCGGGTTCTTACGGTTTAGTAGGAATCAGAAAGTTTAACTGTTCATTTCTGTGGCTTATTGGGGTAGTAAGCTAATATAGTACCCTAGATAGTAGGATCCTCAGTATAAGGATCTCCAAGTAAGGTACCCCCCAATTGTGGCTTCTTGGGGCAGTTCCTGAGCTATTTATCCGAGGCTCCACACCCCTGAAAACCCCCAAGGCCGATGTCAGAAAGACCGACCTGACGCCGGCGAGTTTCCGAAGAAATCAGGGGACCCTTTAACGGGATCCTTAAGGGTTCCTTTAGGTGTTCTTTTAAGGGATCTATAGGGCTTAGGATTTAGGGTTTAGGGCTTCCGAAAAAAGGGGACCCTAATATAGTAGTAGGATCCTTATGATACGGACCTCAAAATAAGGGTCCCCCCGAATTTTCGGAAACTCCCATAAGCTCACCCACCTGGGAGGCCGGACCTGGCCAAGAAGAAGGCGGAGCTCATCCAACAGCAGAATGAGTTCAAGGTGCATTCGTGGTTTAGGCTTCAGAGCTTCGGAGCCCGGCTGTTTAAACAACTTATCTCGATATTCCCAACATTTTGGGCATTACATGAAGTGGCACCGACAATTGCAAACAACGCGCAGATGTGTTTCTTAGAAATACATACGTGGCTTGTACGAGATTGTGGCAACTCTTTCTGTTCTTCACCGGGTTTCCTTCGCAGCTATTCTTGCTGAACCGTGAACCGTTGGTCTCAATCTGAAAGCTGCCCAAAACCCTGCAGTATTTACTTCAAAGTTCCCTAGCTTTCGGTATCGGGGCTTTCCAGGGTTTCAGGCGCTGACATGGTGGTTTTTTGTTTCAGATTCGGGGTTCGGGCGTTTTAATTCAGGCGCCGACCCCGAATGCCCTGTCAACGCTTATCACCTCGCACAGAGAAACATGAATTGCACAAGGGTCCCCAAGCCTACAACCCTAAGCCCTGAAACCCGAAGCCCTGAAACCTTAAGCACTAAAACCCGAAAGCCATCAAACGCAAAATCCTAAAACCATCTAACACTGAAGCCCTAAAGCCCTCAAGCCCTACAGCCCGTGCCGTTTTGGCGAGCATGCTCTCAAGACCAGGACGCACAGCAAGACTGAAAATTCAAACCCTAAAGCCCCAAACCCAAAAGCCTAGAGCCCTTCAACGGCGGCCGACAGGTCACCCTGGCTCACCTGGAGGCATTGCTCTTGGCAGCCTGGCTTCAAAGGAACCCTCTGATAGGAACCCTTCAAGGAACCCTTAAAGAAGCGCTTACAGGAACCTGTACAGCAGCCCTTAAGGCTTGACAGGTTTAGGGGCTTGAGGGTTTAGGGCTTAAGGGTTTGGGTGTAGGAAAGTTGTCTAGTTTTCAAAGGGTTTTGGCTTGAAAGAGATAGGGTTTAGGGATTTGGAGGTTCAGGTTTTAGTATGAAGAGCTAAGGGACTGGAGTGTTACGGTTTGGTGTAGGGCTTAGGAGCCAGGGTACATTCTGTCCGGTGTTTGGGTATCCGCTCCGGACGGCTTCGACGTAACTGGGGCTTCTGTTGTATCAGTGGCAAACCATTCTGTGTAGCTGTGCGAATGATGCTTTCAAGGCCGAAGCACCCTGGCGAGATGTCAAAGAACGGCTCAAACGGTTCAGGGCCTTTAATCTTGCCAGAACCTGCGGCCAAGGAGAAGCTGGCCAATGCCGAAGGTGACATCCTTGATGCCGCTTGACCGTCTTTTGGGTGTAGGCATTTGAGTTTAGCAGTTCAGATTGTGCTTCGGAGGAGTGCGCAGGCGTTCGGGTTTTTCGGGGTTCACTTATGCAAGCAGGGGTTGCTTCCTGGATTTAGGTTTAGGGGTAAGTTTAGGGTTTAGGGGTTTAGGGTTTAGGTTTAGTGGCATGGGGCCAATGATGGGGATGAATGCGGTTGGCGTCTTGAAGAAGTCGACTTTGTAGCTCCTCTGCGTTCCAAGTACGGTTGGAGTTACAGGGCTTGCCGGGCTCAGGAGGTATGCGTTTGCTGGACTCAGGACATCATTCACATTGAGGGCTTTGTGGGTGTAGGATGCTTAGGGTTGAAGGTCCTTGGCAGCAGAATCCCGGGTGTTTAGGCCAAGTAGCTTCATAGTTTCAAATTGATGGCTCGGGGCCCTTAAACCCTAAACCCCTACAGCCCTAGCCGAGACCCCTAACCCCCAAAAACCCTAAACCCTAAACCCCCAAACCCAACCCTAAACCCTAAATCCTCAAGAGCAGGATAAATAGAAATTGTGCGATTTTCGCTTCGATCTGCAAATTCATAAGTTTCAAATTTTCATTAAGCGTGTCCAACCAAATTCCAGCCCAAGCCTCCCAGGCCCAGCCCCATCTCCACCACCAAGCCCCAGTCGCAGCCCTCCCCACCCAGGCCCCCAGACTCTCCCCCAGCCCCAGCCCCCATCCCCCCCAGCCCTGCCAGCCCCGCAGCCTCCTGCCGCCCAGCCCAGCCCAGCCCCAGCCCCACCAGCCAGCTCGGACCCCAGCCCACCATTCCCAAAATGAAAACTTCAAGTCAAAAAACAAAACCCGCTCAAAACGTTTCGCTCAAAACCCAGGACCCAAACCCTACACAGTTTCTATAAACCCTAACCCCTAAACCCTATACCCAAAGTGGGCAGGGAGTCGGCAGTGCGAAAGTCCCAATGCGCCCTTAAAAAAACCCTATACCCTAAAGCCCTAAACCCCTAACCCCCCAAACGTGAAGAGATACCAAGGACACAGAGCTCATCCTCTCCCTGGAGGAGGCCAAGAAGCGCCTTGGCAAAAAGCGAGTTTAGGGTTTAGGGATCATCCCCCAGCTCATATAAACCCTTATGGAAGCCGCCTAGAACCTCTTCGAGCCGTGCAAAACCCACAAAGAATTACAGAATTGAGTGATGTCCTTCAGAACCCCATAGGGCCCTGGACGGTCTTCGAAAGTTTAAGGGCAAAAACGGACTGGTGAAAGCATAGCTGCTTTAGTTCAGGGTTTGGGCACTTGTGGGCAGACCCCAATCCCTATACATAATCTGTACGTCTTACGTGCTGTTGAACTCTCAGCCGTCTCCATAAGTTAAGACAGTTAAGAACCCCTTTCGGAGCTGCCCGATGTGGCTGGTTCTATGAATCATGAGTCCCTTAGTACGACACCTGGTAAAAAGGATGCCAAAAGGGATCCTAATTTAAGGGACTACGCGCGCCGAGTACCCTTATCGGAAACCTATAGAGACCATTATATATCCCCTTTAAGGAACCCTAAAAGGCACCCTGACTTCTGAAACCTATACAGACCATTATATATCCATTTAAGGAACCCTAAAAGGCACCCTGACTTGTCGATCCAGGACCAGTGATGAGGTCAAGGAGAAGGTGGTGGTCGCCCAGGCGACTCATCGTTCGGGGCTCTGGGGTGTGGCGGTTTAGGGTTAAGGGTTTAGGGTTTAGGATTTAGGATTTAGGGTTTAGGATTTAGGGTGTAGGGTTTATAGGACTTAGGGTAAAGGGTTTAGGGTTTCGGGTTTAGGACGTGGGCTTTGGGGGTTTGGATTTACGGTTTGGCATGCGGGGTCGAGGGTTGAGGGGTTTAGGGTTTGGGGATCTAGGGTTCAGGGCGGCTTTTTCTAGTTCGGGGCGTTTAAGACCTCAAAACTTCAAAAGCTGTGGGCAAGTTGCATCATGCAGAGCTTCGCATGGCTTCGGCATTTTCAATCTTCAAGACGGCTTGTGTTGCTGCTTGGCGTGTGTAGCGTTTTTTTTTTAATTAGGGTTTGGAGCTTTTCTGCATCTCCGGGCTGTTTTGACAGCTTACGGAGCGGGGAGCTTAGCACGCTTCCGGTACTGTAACTTTCAGGGTTCCGGTGTAGGGTTTAGGGGTTTAGGGTTTAGGGTTTAGGGTTTAAGGTTTAGGGTTTAGGGTTATTGCAAGATGAATTTTCGGCTTCTGGCTTCGTTAATTCGGAGTTTTGCCACACGCGTCGAGCCGATTATTGGCAGCACTCTGGTGGCTGCCGGCTGTTGCTGCAGAGTCTGGGCAAGCGTTGTCACCAGGCTTTCATCTAGGAGCGAAGCTCTACTACATATTCAAGCTAAACTTGCTGACAAGGATTTTATACACCCACCCGAAACCATCCCGAACCCCATTCCAATTTGCAGTTTCCTTTACTCTACATTGACTTGACAGCCTAGACCCTAATTCCACAAACCCCGGAAGGACAAAACCCTGAGCCTCTAAACCCTGATCCCTCAACTCTAGATCCGAATCCACACACCCTGAATCTACAACTCTGCTAAAAATACAGAACCCGAAACCCTGAACCCCAGGCCCTGAACCCTAATCCTTCACCCCTGCTTCCCTAAAATTGCCTAAACCCTTATAAACCCGAAGCCCGAAACCCCTAAAACACTAAAGCCCCCTGCTTCCCTTAAGTTGCTTAAACTTACAAACCCTAAAACCCTAAAACCCCTCAAACCCTAAAACCCTAAAGCCCCCTACTTCCCTTAAGTTGCTTAAACCCTTACAAACCCTAAACCCTAAACCCCTATAACCCTAAAACCCCTAGACCCTACTTATAGTCTCCATTGTAGTTCCTTTTTTGGTTAGCCAGTTCTATGGTTAGGATCCTATAATAGAGATTTTGGTTAACCAAAAAAAGGAACTACAATGGAGACCATAGGTACTTCCCTTAAGTTGCTTAAACCCTTACAAACCCTAAACCCCTATAACCCTAAAACCCACCCCAAAAACCTCAAACCCCTAAATCACCCTACTTCCCTTAAGTTGCGTGCAGGACACGGAGCTCAAGATCAACGAGACCTCTGAGTTCTATCGTCCAACAGGTGAACCCTCTCGCGCTTACTTCGGACATCGGGTTTTTTAGGATTTAGGATTTAGGGTTTAGGGTTTAGGAGTTAGGAGTTAGGGTTTAGGGTTTCGGACTCAGAGTTTAGGGTTTAAGACTTAGGGTTTAGGATTTTTAGGGTTTAGGGTTTAGGGTTTAGGATTTAGGGTTTAGGACTTAGGGTTTAGGACTTAGGGTTTGGGATTTTTAGGGTTTTGGGTTTAGGATTTAGGGTTTAGGACTTAGGGTTTAGGACTTAGGGTTTAGGATTTTTAGGGTTTAGGGTTTAGGATTTAGGGTTTAGGACTTAGGGTTTAGGATATAGGATTTTGGGTATCGCATTTAGGGCTCAGGAAGTGAGGCTTAGTGATGGCTACTAGAGGGTTTATATGGCATAGGGTTCAAGGTTCAGGTTGTGGGGTTGGCAGTTTTTTGTGCCGGAAATTTACCAAAAGGTCTTTGATTTTCATCCTTAGTGACGACCGTCCTGTCATGACGATGATCTTCTGCAGAGCCGACTAAATCCTGAACCGTCTGGGCTTCACTGACTAAGTCACGTACGGCTCAGATGGGAGCTGAGGCAGCTCCAGAATACTTCTGAGATGTCAAGCTCTATGTTCGGGCTTGCTTTGGTAGATGGCTTGTGAACAGATAGGATAATGTCGTGCGCACTACAGCGCCAACCACTTATCCAGGTGGCGACCGTTACAAGGATGTTCGCTTGCCCGGCCTAGCCCTATGACCCTAAACCTCACACCCACTTCGATATCTATTTGTTTCCGAAGCCCAATGCGAATCAGCAGGATCAAATCGAACATGACACACTGAAAAAAGTAGCTTGCCAGCGGTTCTTCCGGAGCCAGGCTGTCTTGGCTGTCCAGCTGGGCATGGTTGTTGCATTGTTCTCGTGCCGAAGGTGTTTCTGACGATTTGTTCATGTGTCAGTCTTTGTTAGTTTATTCTCCACCCCAAAGCCCAACGCTTCAGAACAGCTTTCGGAGCTGCAGGACAAGTATGCGGACCTTCAGCGGTACACATTTTCCCAACGTACTAGCTGTCGAAACCCCTAACCTCATAAATCTTCAACTCGCTGGAGTCTTAACACCGAATTGGCCTAAACCTAAACCCATGGCATGACAAGCATCGTCCGTCACCGGGTTCTTGCAACGTTTTTGCAACGTTTTCTATGTAGCGTAACATAGATTGTCGTCAGAACCAAAACGTTGAAAGTACTAGTACAATATTCTGATTACGGCAACACAGGCAAGCCTTCAACCCTGTAAACAGTGTATAAACCCTCTGAAACTCATCGAGCCGTTTCCAAGTGCCTTCAAATCATCATAGTTCGCCAGAGAATCCTGTAATACCCTAGACAGGCCTAGTGGCATTCTCTGAAACCGTTGTAGGAGCCCGTAAAGGAACGCTCAAAGGAACCCCTGTGGGTTCAGGTGCACGAGGAGCACTCCTGTTCTTCCAGCTGATGAGCCTTTGCTGCTTGACTTTGTCCAAAAAGACCACGTGGATGGTTCTCCAAATTAGGGTCCTTCCTCAGGCCGCAAAAGGGACCCTAATTTTTTTGAATAATTACCCATAATGTAGCCATTAAGATGTCGCGGTCGAGGTTTGTTGGAATGCACCGGAAGGTACCTTTCTATTTCCGGTGTAAGATCCTTGCGTAATATTGGTACAGCCAGCACCAATTTCTGCCGAGGTAGAGATTTGCAAGAACACCGGAGCTGTTTGAAGAGCTTCTCTGTAAGCCACAAAGTGCATTGTCATGATCGTGGTTGTGCTGCCCATGCCTTGCCCCTGGTGATAGTCGGGCGAGGGTGAAGGTGGTGAAGAAGGAGAAGTTAATCTTGATAGTGAGTTATCTATGAGGAGGTGCACAGCCATGGAATTATGAGGAGGTGTACAGTCATCCTGACGGAGGTTCTGGCGATGAGGACGATGGCTATGGTGATGAGTGATGACAGCAAAGATCAGCTATCGTGAGAAGAATAAGGTCACATGACGTGATGATGATGTTGATGAGGATGATGACGATGATGATGACGGCTGTGGTGCGCACGACTCCGAAGCATTGAACGGTGATATAATATGATAGGATGATGAAAAGTAAGATGCTTGCTATGTTGATGTCGATGATGACTACGATGATGACGACGATGAAGATCATGGTGATGGTGTTGATACTGATAACGGTTGCACGTGACTCCCTTGTTGCTGCGCGAGTTCTTAGCAATGTTTAGTGATGCAGGTGACATGAATCTTGCACAGGCTGCGGATGTTGCCTTGAACGATCACTAGCTGACGTTGTCTCGATCCCTCAACCGACCCAATAAAGAATTGAGGTCTGAATACTAATTATGCTGCAATATACACGCAAACCCTAGTCCGGCCCCTGCATGAACATGAAGTTTCGGGTGGCCTGCCTTTGAGTGGCTGTATGCTGTTGTGATAGTGGCTGGATGCTATTGCGATAGGCCTTGCGAACCTGCAACGCGAGCTTATTTACTCCCACCTTGAAAGCAGTTTAAAAAGCAAGAAGCCATCAACACGGATGTTTGGAAAGCCTCTTCCCCTAGTGGTTGAAAAGACCCCGCCCTCTAGGTCATACCTTCATCTCAGACCAGAGATGTGGCCCATCAAGGGCCTGTCTCTGGATGCCTAGAGCAAATCTCCTCAACTAATGTCTTAAGTTGGTAGCCTGTTCCCCACATCCTTCAGCAAATGCTGAGGTAACATGCACACCTTCTACAAGTACTCCTTGGATGCTTATCTTATGGCTCCTCGGACAGTCGAACGCGCATTTCTGCTTCGTTGCGCTTCGGGTTTCAGGGCTTCATTGGGAGTTTGAGGACCCAGTGGGAGTTCGGGAGCAAGCCCAAAGCCTTACAGTTTAGGGGTCTAGGGTTTAGGGGATTGGAGTTTAGGGGTTCAGCAGCTTAGGGGGATTGAGGGTTTAGGATTTTAGGGGTTTGGAGGTTTGGGGTTTTGGCTTGAATATTTTGTTGGGGTTCTGGGATTTGGCAACCGCAAGGCGAGACCGTAAGGCTTTAGGGCGACTTTTCGAGTGTCTTCTTGCGTTGATGAAAGCTTATAAACCTTTTCTACTCTAATAGGACAGGGGTAAAAAACCCCGCTCGCGTCTGGTCTCGTTGGGGGTTTCGGCAAAGCCGTGTTGCTTCACGCTACCGATGAGAGCTCAAGTTTTTGGGGATTTAGGGCTTGCAAGGGGCACAGGGCCTTTAGGGTTCGTCTGGTTTATGAGTTCAGGGGTTCTTGTGCGGTCAGCTAGCGATTTTGGGTTCGTCTGGTCTCTAGTATGGGGTTTGATTGCGGAATCTGTGCTGGCAAGATGTTGAACATGTGTACCCTAAGGCCCCAAAGTGGTGCCTTTCTGGGGTTCATATATAGAATCCTAAAGGGTAAACCCAAAAAGGAACTGCTTTGGGGCCTCTGTGTAGCATGAGTTGAGGTCGTGACGCGCGCCGTGAACAGCGTCACCTTGCGGAAGCCAAAGGTGCCGGGGTTCTTGACATGGTTTCGGAGCAATAACTTAGATCCCCAATACCTAACCTTTAAACTTTTCGGTTTCTTATAGTTAAGTAGGAATCAGAAAGTTTAACCTTTCATTTCTGTGGCTTATTGGGGTGGTAAGATAAGGGTAAGGTGGATGAGAGTTGAAGCATAGGACCCATGACGGTCGGAGTCTTTTAGTTTCGAGTCCTTATTGGCCATGATGTGACTGGAAGGGTTGGGCCACAAGTAGCTGTTACAAGCTAGTACACATGTATGTCCGTATCTATTTATTTATGGAAGCATGTGTATACTTGCACACACACACACACACACACACGCACACGCACACATATACCTACACATTTCAGTTTTTGTATACACACACATATATATATATGTTTATACACATAGCAGATGTAATCAATGTACACTTATGTACAGATATACATAATGTATCCATATACACACAATGTACACCATGGACAACACACATAGTGATATACATACTTATACCTATGTACATATATTCATATACGCATATACGCATATACGTACGCATACATACAGGAATACATATTCGGATATACGCATATACACATGTATACAAACATGCACATATACACATATCCGTACATATATCCTGAAAATTATGCACATACGCACACACACACACACACACACATATATATATATATACACACACATACATGCACACATGCATGTATACATGTATATATGTATACGAATATATACACGCACGTGTCTTCGTTTGTGGATGGGCGGATAGATGGATAGGTCGATAGATCGATCGATAACCGCGAACCCCGCGAGCTGCAACAGCTAATCCTGTTTAGGGTTTGTAGGGGTCTAAGGTATCAGGTTTGCGGCTTATTTTTTAGGGCATAGCGTTTAGGGAGGGTTTGGTGTTTAGTGTGTAGGGTTTCGGGAGTTTTTAGGGTTCAGGGTTTCATTAGAGTTTAGGGTTTCGACAGTCTTCAGGGTTTTAGTGTTACATCTTATACGGACACCTCAATGCCCACCCGTCTGGATGCGCCTACCACCCCTTTATCCCTAGCTGCTAAGCCCGTGCGAAAGGCCTAAGTTTAGTATCGTACATTTCTGAGGGCGAACAAACCTCAAGGCTAAACCCGCTTCCAATTACCCCAAACCTAAAGCCTAAAGCCTGTATGAGCCCTTCACCCTAAACTTGGCCCTCACCGTTAAGATCCCGAAGCACTAATGATGCTTCAATATCTCCTCTCAGCTCTTTGGAAGGAGAAGAAAGTGGAAGAGAAGGTTGAGGAAACGCCCGCCGAGGAAGAAGGTGGCGATGAGGCCTGTGGCTGAACGCTCAACGCTTGGGGCTGAAGTCTTAAGACGTCTTTTTCAATATTCTTGAGACTTAGTCTAAGTTACGGTTTGGGAAACACAGAGCGTTCTAGTCTAAAAAGAGGCTAATCAGGATGTTTTACGATTTGAAACCTGCACACTCTCGTTTTCTCAGTGCAGCGGTTTAGATATGCGGCTTAGGTTTGAAGTGGATGAAGTGGAGTTGAACATGTAGGTTTTGGGGGTCCTCGGACGAGTGGCTCGATCCTGGGATCGGCTGGCAGCATGTGGCAGCTGAAGGTGCCGCAATGTGATTTCAGACCCAGTGCTCTGGCTGCGATGGCCTCAGGAATGAGCGAGGTTAGTTTGCCCTACTGATGAAGTTGATGACCCCAAACCCTAAACCGTGACGCCGGCTGGCGGCCGGTGGCTGATACTGCAGAGAAGCAGGCGAACATGCCAACTATGTAATAAGGAAACTCATGTGGATGCAGGTGTCCACGACGACTCTAGTGCAGCTACGGACTGGTCTCTAACTCGTGTTGAGATGTGGTTATTCTTGCAGTACTGGTTGTGGTTATGGTTGTAGATTATGTTGTGGGTTGTGGTTGAGACTGTGCAAGCTGCGGTTTGGCTACTACTAGCTCATATGACAAGAGTGGAGTGCAACTTTTACCAGATTGTGGGGCAACATGGCATCCTCTGGTTGGTGGAGTTTAGGATTTAGGGCTGTAGGGATAAAGCTTTTTGCTAGTTAGTGAACTTCCGCAGGGAACGGGAAGCCACAAGCGCGAAAAGCCGTAGCACAAAGCAGCACTCCCAGCAACCTGTGTCTGCATCAACGACGGCTGCGCTTGTCTGTGGATCCCTATGAATCCATAGACCCCAAGCAACGGAACACTAATTAGTGTCCACCTTCGGGTCCTCGGAATGTTAAAAAGACCCTGCGAAACGAAATCCCGCACCCTAAACTCTGAACTCCAAGTTCTCAGTCTGAACCCCACAATCCCAAGCCTTATTATGCCCCTAACCAACAACCCCTCTCCAAACCACGAGCCTTCGACCCCACTGCCCTACACCCTGCACCCTAAGACCTTAGCTTCCAAACTGAATCCGCAAAAGCTAAAGCCCCCGGGGCACCACTTCAACGATCATGGTCTGCAATAGCCCGGGGTGTATGAAGAAGGTAACTTTGCCTACAACTACTGACGATTCAGGTGAGGTGCGTAAAGCCGTCCAAACTACGTCCCCTGGTCCACAACCCACCAACACCGCTTCTGAGAGCACCTCTAGAACCCAAGAGGAACCTTCTACCAGCTGCATTAGAGAAGCTCTAAACTCCATTCCGGTGTAATATACTTGAACATTGAGTCTTGCCAAGTCCCCCCCCCCTAAAGCCTAAACCTTGAGCCCCCAACCCTAAACCCCCAAAGCCCAAACCCGGAGCCCTAAACCCTGAACCTTAAACCCTCAACCCCTAACCTAGAGCCTAAACCTTGAGCCTTAAACCCCAACACCCAAACCCTAAATCCTGAACCTAGAGCCTAAACCTTCAGCCCTAAACCCCAAAACCCAAAGCCTGAACCCTAAGCAGAGCCCGCAAGGAAGAAGGCGAAGAAGACGAGGAGGGCGCCGAGGTCGAGGAGGCTCCTCCTGAGGAAGAGGAGGACAGGGGGAATCAGGGTTTGGGGGTTAGGGTTTAGGATTAAACCAGCAAGATTGTCTTACTACTGCTGCTAAGTTTCTACTGCTGTTGTTCATATTAATTATTGCTATTTCTACTAACGTTCCTTCATCCGGAATCCCTGGACCGTAAACCCTGGGTAAGCCGTTAACCTTCTAAGCCCTGATGTATATGAAGTCTGCATGGGTTTAATGTTTAGGCTTTAGGGTTTAGGCTTCAGGGTTTAGGGTTGAGGCTTCGGGCTACCCTACAAAAAGTTTGGGTGGAAGACCCGGGCTTTGGATTTAGGATTAAGGGGTGATTGATTTAGTGTTTGGGGGTTTAGGAATTCGATAGCGTTCAAGATTTGTGGTTCGGGTTCAGGGCCTTACGGTTTACTGTTAGATATCGCAGGAAGAGATCATCGAGCTGACCGGAAAGGATCTCAAGCTGCGCGTGGATCTGCTCGGAGCCCCTGTGTAGGGTCGGGGCTGAAACTGTTTATCCGGGTCACTGAAATGATACCGGACATGAACCCTTGAAAACATGGCCGCATCTCAACAAAAAGCCTAATTCTGGTATGCCTGTTTGTGGGCATCCTTCAAAATGTGTGGGGATTTTCCATCTGAGGTGTTGGGTATTCGGGCAAGCGCTAAACCCGAAACCCGACCCCTGAGCCTTCGAAAAGCACTAAACCCTAAACCCTGAATCCAAAGTCCCAAGCCGTAAGTGCGCCTGAACCCCAAACCCCAGACCTTACAAACAAATAATACCTAAAGGGAACTCCAGAAAGTTGGAATATGGATTAATGATTAATGGTAGGATCCCATATAATTTACCTTAAAGGGGGTACGATAATGATATTCCAACTTTCTGGCTTCTACTATAAGCATAGGGATCCTTAGGGGTGTAGGGGGGAGGGGTGTAGGGGACTATATTTCCTTAAGTAGGCCTTATTAGTCCTTATTATGGGCCTTAAGGCCCCCTACCCCCCCTCCCCCTACACCCCTAAGGATCCCTATGATATAAGCTCATAACCCTGGGGTGCACCAAGGCCCCAAAGGCCCTAAAGAAGGGCCCCCCGCCCGACTCAGAGCTTCCTTTGTGACCCCTAGTGGCCCTTTAGGGTTTAGGGGTTTAGGGTTTAGGGTTTAGGGTTTTCCTTTGTGAACCCTAGTGGCCCACGGCTAGAGTTCGGGGTTTGGGCTTTCGGAGCTTAGGGTTATATACAGAGTTTTGGGGGGGAGTTCGGGTTGAGGGTTTCGGGTTGTGTAGGTTTTAGTGGTTTGAAGTTTAGGGTTTAGGGTTTTAGGGTTTAGGGTTTAGGGTTTTAGTGGTTTGAGGCTATTCCCAAACCAGGTGTATCTTCGTGGGGTGCTGCTTATTCGGACTGTATTCGGAACTGTAGCTCACCATAACGGGGACTGAACTACACGCCCTGCACTGTAGTCGGCTTGCTTTGAGATCGGCATAGACACCCCTTCAGGAAAGCAATGTCGACTTAAGTATATAAGGGTTCGGTCCGCAGGTGCTTAGATCTGAGGGCGTATAGTTGGTGTTAGGGGTGGTTTTCAAAATTAGGATCCCTTTTTGGGTCCCTAGTACGCACCTAATATTTAGGGAACCCAAAAAGGGACCATCATTTTGACAACCACCCATATGATTATGATCTCAAAATCTCAAGGAAGTGGGTCACAACATGGGGAGCTCGTCAGCGGGTCTACGTAGCACCCCAAGCCGCAGTAAAACACCAAAACCCGAAATCCCGAAACCCTAAACCCCCAAACCCGAAGCCCCTAAACCCTAAACCCCGAAACCCTAAACTCCTAAACCCTAAACTGTAAACCAATAAACCCTAAACCCCTAAACCCTCCGCAGAAAGGCTGTGCAACATCATCACCTTCTTCGTGTGGAACTACACGCGTCGAGGTCTCCTGGATTCCGACAAACTGACAGTGGCACCTCGGCCCCTGAATTGATATTTTGGAGGGTTCCTTGTTGTATTGTTTTGTATAATGGGCTTCAAAACCCTATTCATTCTAATTACTAAGGCCCCTATTTTTCAGCTTACAGGCTTCGGGTGTCGTAGTTATGTCGTCGGGGTGGGTAAATCTCTCTTCATGTTCTCGGATGGACGCCTGGGCTTTCGTCCAGTGCTTCGAGGACTCATCAGCCGGGTTACCCAAAGGCCCCAAAGTAGTTCCTTTTTGGGGGTTCGCATATAGAATCCTATAAGGTAATCCCAAAAAAGAACTACTTTGGGGCTTCTGGGTATCCCCAACTCGGACTCTGGGTTGGAGGTCGCAAGGTAGATTCAAGGTGCAATCCGAGTAAACGAACCACTGACCGGCGGTTCGGAGTTTTCTCGCGCAGAATTTTTCTTTGCAGGCCTGAGTCAAGAGGTCCTCGTGTGCATTGCCGTGATCATCCGGCAGCAGCAGGGCCAGCATCATCATCGATGTGGTCATCGCCCTATCACCACTACGGGTCCTGGTCGTGGTTGTCGCGGCCGCGGTCTTTACCCTCGGTCATCATAGTCGCTGTAAGCTGCCGACCACCATCATCATCATCATCATCGTCACCATCATTACCATCATCGCCAGCATCACAACATCATCATCATCATCACCACTATCATCATCATCATCATAACCATCAGCGTCATCCTCGTCGTCATCGTCATCGTCACCGTCGTCGTCATGTTCATCATCATCTGTCATCTTTGTCGCCAGCATCGTCACCAGGAAGAAATCATGCTACAGACGGCTGAACCCTTGGCCAGAGAAGTTTTCTGCTTCGAAGGCTTGGTTCCTTGTAGGCGTACATGAACTCGGGCTTTCTCATGAATGCCGCTTAACAGCAACTTGCTCCAAAGGGTATGCCTTAAACCCTGTACTCTACACCTTAAACCCTCAACTCTAAACCGAGTTCATCTCCAACAGGTTGTATCCGGCCCTCAACTGTAACCCGTAGCCGAAGGCCCTCAACCTGAGGGCCGTGCACCCTAATGCGGGCGATGTTCTCAATTGGAGCTCTCTTTTAGCGTTCTTCTCTTCATGATACGATGAGGAGAGAGCCGACCTAAACTCCAAAGACTACGCCCCAGGTGAGTATGATGGCCATGAACATCCTCGTGCGAGTCGCGTTGGCTTGCATATTGGAGCTGAAAAGGGGCTCAGGGGTCGAGGATGCAGGGTTTAGAGCTTAGTGAAGTAGGGAAACCAGAAAGCCTCAAAGCCTACTTTAGGTCTCTAGTCTGGGAGTTCGAGCTTCGGTTTTAATTAGCCTTTCTGGACCTACTCTACAAGCCTCAAGGGCCAACTTTAACCCCGGGTGTAGGGGTTCTATAGGTTCAATGTTTCGGGTTTGCCCTGAAACCCTAAACCCAAAACCCCTAGACTCCTAGACTCTATACAAAAAGCTCCAAACCGCGGCACCGGGCTTTTCTAGGCAGGTTGGGGGTTAAGGCATACTGTGGGTTAACCCTGTGGAAGCTTATCAAACCGCAGGATCGTCTATGGTTTAGGGTTCAAGGGTTAGGGGTTTCGGGTTTAGGGTTCAGGGCTTAGGGGTTTAGGGTTTCAACTTTCGGGTTTAAGGGTTCAGGGCATTGCTGGTGATTTTGGGGCTTAAGGTCTTCGGTTGTAGACAAGGCCGGGGTAGGCATCCCTGCAAATACCAAGGCTGGCAAAATCACCACCGAGGAGAAGGACGGGATCGCCGTAGCTTAGGCCCATCTGAGCACAACTGGAGCTTAAGAAACGGCAGTGTCGGTCGTGAACAGAAATCCCCAACTCTAACCGCAGCAGCCGCAGCGGCACAGACGGGCTTGAAGACACTGGAGAAGCACATGCTTGCAGGCTTCCAACACCGTCTCGAATACTGAATACTCCCAAATTTACAGGAGTCGCTAACTATCAAGGAAATAAGACCCCCAACACCAGTCCCCAAAATCAAGCACGACGGTTGAAGCCCCTACCTGCACTCCAGGCCCTTCGACGTACATCCAAAATGGACATTACACCACTCTACACCCTCAACCCCATACCCTAAACCCTGCATGGACCCTACCTGAAGCTACCAAACCCGACTTTTTTGTAGGTTCTTATTAGTATAAACCCGAATATGGAATGTATAGGGACCCTACAAAAAAGTAGGTTTTGGTAGGTTAAGGTACCCATAGGCTCCATAGGAGTTCCTTTTTGGGAGTACCTTATAGGATTCTAAACAGGAACCCCCAAAAAGGAACTACTACGGTTGATGATATAAATCCTGCATCATTTTAAGGACCCTAAACTATGGGAATTATGGCATATTCCTTATTCTGGGTAATGCAGGATTTATATCATCAACCGTATGAAGCCTCTATAGGTAAGAGCCCTAAAGCCTCAGCCCCACAGCGGAGTTGAGAAGCCCAGAAGCTTCAAGCCTACAGGGAACTCCAGAAAGTTGGAATATCATTATCGTAACCCCTTTAAGGTAAACTATAGGGGATCCTACCATTTTTTTCCATATTCCAACTTTCTGGAGTTACCTCAGGGAACTCCAGAAAGTTGGAATATGGTTTCATGGTAGGATACCCCTGTAACTTACCATAGAAGGGTTAGGATAATCATATTCCAACTTTCTGGCTTTTACCTTAAGCCGATGAGAGCCAGGAGGCCCAGAGCCGCGCAACTCAAACGCTGAAGCTCCACCCTCATACTATACGGACCTTCCTAATTTCCTATACCATTGAGGGGGTTCCATTAAAGGGGTTCTTAAAGGGGTCTAGAAAAAAAAGGGATACTACAAGGGTACTATGATATAGGGACCTTAATAATTAATCTTTACCATTTTGGGGGTTCCTTGTCATAATTACACTATAATGGGCCCCAAACCCCAATTCTAACATTTTGGGTTCTCCTTATTATAGTTGCATTATAATGGGCCCCCAAACCCTATTCTAATTATTAAGGCCCCTATCTTACGTGTCGGGCTCAGGGTTCGGGGGTCATAATACCCGCCTTTGACCTAGGAGGGGTCAGGGGTCACAATAATACCCCCGTTTGATTTAGGATGTAGGTTTTAGGTTGGGTTTAGTAGATCAAACCCCCAAAACCCTGTTCCGATGGTTCCGCGCCGACTGCTCAATCCAATCTCCTCCATGAGGAGACACTGATTCGATGCCCTCCAGATCCGAATCCCCCGGCCATGCCGGAGAACGCCAGGACGCGTCTGCGGCGCTGAAGCCTGAAGAAACTGAAGGGATTTATGGTTTAATTGGGTTTAACAGCTGTAGACTGACAAGATTGATTGATAGTAACACTTTGATGACGCAGCTGCAATTCTTTCTCTGGATTAAACATGATGGATATAGCACCAAAAGCAGTAGCAGCTACAGTCGCAGAAACCACGGGCAGCGGCAGCAGCAGTAGCTGCAGCAGCAGCCGTAAATACGGACGAAGATGCATGCTTTAACCCTCTAAACATTCCTAAACCCTAAACCGATTTGGGAGTTTCCGAAAATAAAGCACATTTAATATGGTACTATAAATAGTAGGATCCTGATTATAAGGACCCCCAAAAATCAGGTACCCCAAATTTTCGGGCACTCCCATTTGCAGGAGCTGGCTCTCCGAGACTCAGTGGGCCCAGCTGAAGACCCTGGAGAACATGGAGGCTGTTGAATTTTGGTTTCGTAGGGTTTCATAAGGCGGAGGTTTTTTTCGGTTCGAGGGTTTTCGGCAGGATTTAGCTCAATGATGGTGGTTACCGTGAGTATGCTGGTTTGGACATCATTGCTGTGCCTTTTGTTCTTTGTTGCTGGGTTCTAAGGTTGATGAGTGCTAACTAACTAGTTTATTTTGCTACTCGGCTGGTTTCAACAACTCGGCTTTGTCCTGCACCATTGCTAACAGCATTTTTCTTAGTTCTTGCCACGATGCATGCACTGATGCGCTTCGTCTAGACTGGCACGTTGGCTGAAGCAGTGCAGCGTTGACACAAGTAGGTGTGAGGGACCCCAGCACAGATTCCAGTATGTATGCAGTATTTGCTTTAGTCTTGCAACACCTTTTGTTTCGGTCTCTCTCGTTCTCTCTCTGTTTCTCTCTCTCTCTCTCTCTCTCTCTCTCTCTCTCTCTCTCTCTCGGTGTAAGTATGTATATATATATATATATATATATATAATTATAATTATTATGTGTCTGGCAAAAACTGTATGTGTGTACATATATATATATATATATACATACACACTTATACTTATGAACCATGTATAGATAATCACATCTATATCTATATCTGTATATATATATATAATATAAGTTCACAAGTACGTATCCTGTAAGCTTAAGGCTGTGAGGTCTTAGGGCTTAAAGTTTAAGCTTCATGGTTCAAGTTTGGAGCGAGTTTCAACTTTTCTGATTATTCTTCACTTCAATTTCCATGCCGGGAAGCTCCACTGTGCAGCTCAAGTAAGTATCTAAACCCTACAAACCCTCAAGCACGAGCATTGTCCTGTGACAATGTGGAGCGAAGGCAGTACGGAGGTTGCAGTAACCAGGAATACCATCCCATTCGTGTCCCTGTCATTATCGTTATACAAACTAATAGATGCCCCCCAAACCTACGCCTCACGGTTCGTACCCCCTGATCCCTCTCAGAACCTTTCTAGAACTTAAGAAGACCATCTAAGAATTGATTCTATTGGATAGGCTTTCATCTTATGGAGTGTGATCTTAACCCGCAGGCTTTCAAGAAGGGAGGCCAGTTGACACAGAACATCGAGCAGGACTGGTGCTTCGGTTTCCGAATTTCCTGAGGCTCCCATTTCGGGAGTGGGGTTTAGGCTTTAGAGTTTAGGGCCTAGGGTTTGGGGCTTAGGATTTGGTTTTTAAGCTTCAGGGTTTGGGGCTCATGCACCCCATACCCATAGCGTCATACCCGTCAGCTTCTCTTTGGGTACCTACTGATCCTAGCTACAAAACTAGGTATTTACCCACGGTGCTTGGTGATTTTGCGATTTTGACATCGAGGGCTCCAATTTTGTGAAGTGCATGTACATAGATGAAACCCAGCAGACCTTGTCCCCTGGAAGTTGACGATTTGAAGATTGGGTTGAGGGTTCAAGGCTGCGCGGATGTGTGACTACTTGTTGACAGGAGTTGTGCGCTTGTGACCTACGGTTTAAGGCGATCGGGCTTGGTTTTGAGGTTCAGGCGGTTCAAGACCTTACCTTTGGTTAGTAGGGAATGAAGGAATGATAGTAATATATAGTATAATAGTACCCATTCCTTCATTCCCTACTAACCAAAGGTTCAAGACAAGCTGGTCGGCGCGACCTGAACCCCTAAAGCGAACCTGAACTTGAGGCTTTCTCCCACGCAAGCTTCTCGTCATTGCTAACGACCCCGAAGCTTCTCAAACCCTCATGCATTGGTGGTGTCCCCATAGGCCCCAAAGTTTGCCAAAATAGTTCCTTTTTGGGGTTCATATATAGAATCCTATAAGGTAGTCCCCAAAAGGAACTACTTTGGGGCCTATGGGTAGATAGATGCTTTGATGCATGCATGGGTGGACAGCTTGGGAGGGAAACACGCCCATGCACGTCAAATGCCTCCATGGTGTGTACATCGCACTGTTGGTAAAGTGTTGTGTTCTGTGGCGTAGTGTGGCATTATGATAGTGTCATTACTACGCTGTCTATGTCGCCCCTCTTGCGCAAGCTCTAAGCCCCCAGCCCCGAAGCCTAAACCCTCAAACCCTAAATCCTAGCAGCCCTCAGCCCTGAAACCCTAAACAAAAAGTTTTAGGGTTTAGGGTTTAGGGTTTAGGGTTTAGGGTAAACCCCAAATCCAATAAACCCCAACTCTTAAGCCCCCCCCCCCCAAATCTCCCAAACCCCAAGGCCTCAAGGCCTCAAACCCTAAATCTCCTAATCTCCTAAACCCTCAGCCCGAACCTCTCGTGATATAGGACTCACTGGGATGGAAGCGCTGGTACAGCGAGGAGAAGGCGGCTGTTATATGCACTTTTTTGCAGGGTTTTTGGTGTTTAGTTGAGGGGTTTTGGCTATTTAGGGTTGAGGATTAGGGGTTAAGGGTTTAGGGGTAGGGCTTGGCGGTTTAGGGTTTAGGGGTTTAGGGTTCAGGCAAGCTCTCTCCGTTCTAGAGTTCGGTGTGGGGCAATTTCGGGTTTAGGGCTGCTTCTTCTGACTTGGTTTTCCAGGCTGCAAGTAGCTTGAGGCTCTCAGGCCTGAACACCACATATCCCGAACGGTCCATTACCGACCTTGACGTTGAAGTAGTCCTTGTATAGGTATGTGGGCACTTAGGGCATCTTATAAAGGCATTCAAACCTGAACGCAATCTATGATATCTATGGCTCCTGGCTATTTCGGGCGCTCGGGCCATCACTACTCCAAGCCAGCATCATTGCCGCTGTCATGATCGCCACCTGCATCATGTCATCGACAACAACACGACCAACAACCAGCATCATCCTCCTGCAGTGCACAATGATCACCGTTTTAATCGCCCTGCTTAAGATGATACTCCTCGTGCATTGCGGTCCTAACATCATCTGTGCTCACAGTGCTATATCGAAACAGAAGTTATCCCTGAACTAGCAGTTCCACCCGGCCCCTTGGCCTCTCCTTCCCCGAGACTTCCGTACTACTCCTTCCCGAACGAATATACATTGTCTACATTCCGCAAGGGATCCTACTGTTGATGATACAAATCCTGCATTAGCTTGAGGACCCGTATCTATGGGAATAATGGTATATTCCTGATTATGGGTCATGCAGGATTTATATCATCAACCGTAGTCTCATAATAAAGGGTCCTAGGTACTGCTATGGGAGACACTTCCCCAAATCATAATAGTAATTCCGAAAAGAGGAACCCTACATTCTACTATATAGGTAGTTTGGACCCTTTGGAAAGTAAGGGTACAATAGGGGCCGAAATCATTACAGGGGTTCCTTATTATGATTATAGTATAATGGGCCCCCAAGCCCTATTCTAACTATGTCCTTCAGCCAGAGACACCGGAGTTTCTGGGTTCAACGCAGGCCGAGAATGCTGACCTTCCCCGCAGCGCACGCGATCTGAGCCTCCTCTCAACAGCTTGTGGGGCCCCAAAGAAGTTCCTTTTTGGGGTTCATATATAGAATCCTATAAGGTAGTCCCAAAAAGGAACTACTTTGGGGCCTATGGGTAGGGTCAAGGTCTGAAACCTCGACTCAAACCTCCTCAAACCTACGCCCCAAAGAATGAAAACCTACACCTTGAAGACGCACAACCCCAAAAGCCAAACCCAAACCTCAAAGTGTATGTTCTCCCGACCTAGCAATGCAGCTATTCCCAAGGCCCCAGAACCTGTCTCCTAAGTTTAAAGTTTGTCTCTCCATGTCTGGGATTAGGGCTTAGGGGCCTTCATTTATACCAACACTATTCTGTAGGTTCCTCATTACAAGTATAGTACAACGGGCCCCAAACCCTGTTCTAATTATTAAGGCCCCTATACTGGGGTTCAGGGGCAGCCTTTTGCCAAACGCGACGACTTATCCAACTTTGTAGCTGGCCCACCGTTTCTGAGTCGGTCTGACCTTCGAAGCACAAGGACAAAGGCCATGCACCAGATGCTACATGATGGCAGCGTGAGTAATTGCAAGTACTTTTTTGGGTTCCTCTGTACAAATTAGAAGTTAGCATAATATTGCGCAGAAGCCCTAGTCTGGTTCTTAAAGGCCCCGGCAGTGTGGCAGTTTCAGCAAGCTGGGAGCCTGGTGTATATGCTCGGCTACAGCAAAAGAGAGGTTTGGAGTTCAGGGATCTTTGAGAGCATCATCATAGGGACCCTGAGAGGGGGTAGGGGGAGGCGGGGTAGGGCGCCTGAATGCCCAGAATAAGGCCTATATTAAGGAACGTGCTTCAAGCCCGAAGCTCTAAACTTCAACGACCCCTAAACCTTCAAACCCTATAAACCTTCAGACCCTAAACTCCTATAACCCTAAACCCTCAACCCCTGTAACCCTTGAAGCCCTAAGGTCCCTAAACCTTGGCAGCTTCCGAATTTTCCGAGGACCCAGTTTCAGCGCCTCTTCCTCCTGCGCGTGATGAGGCAAGACCGCCGGGAGCCCACTGTGGGGGCTCTGCATCATGCAAGGTTTAGGGTTTGGGGCTTGGGGTTTAGGGATTTAAGGTTTAGGGTTTGGGGTTTAGGGATTTAGGGTTTAAGGTTTAGGGTCTGGGGCTTTGGGTTTAGGGATTTAGGGTTTGGGGTTTAGGGCTGTAGTCCCTGCATAGGTTGCCATCTGATGCCCTCAAGCCCTGTTCTACTGCAAGGGCCTCTATGTTCCGGGCCTTCATGTAAACCGGAGTACACTCATAAAGGAGTCGGAATACTGGCAATAGTATCCCTTTGCAGATCCAACATCACTATGATACCACTGAAAACCCGAGTCTAATTGCTGATGCCCCGGTAATATAGGGGCCTCAATAGTTACCTATACTATTTTGGGGGTTTCTTTTGATAAATATAGCATAATGGGCCCCAAAACCCTATTCTAATGCCCCGGTAATCCCCCCCAACGCTCTTGTAGAGGTTGTTGCAATCATAGAGACTCATCGCGGGAGATGCAATCAACAGCTGGAATAAGAACATCAATGTCCAGCTGAGCTAATAATAGGAATAATTTTAGTAGTATTCATAATAGAAATACTAGTAACAACACTACTAATGATACTAGTACTCAACCTGTGGTAGGACTTGGGGGTGCTGGGTTGAGCTTGAGGCTACCTGGAGGGTTTAAGGTTTGAGATTTGCTTCCGGATATGCGGATTCCAGCAACCCCTTGGTTTCGAGAAGGATTGTAGCCCACTTTGTCACCTGAAATCCTGAAGCTTGTAAAGGGCTCAGTGACAAGCCCTCATCTCCGTTTCGCCTAGGTATCGGTGCGGCCCTGTCGCAGTTCGTCATCGACAACCTGGGTCAGGAGTTTCCACCTGGAGGGTACGACTTTTAGCCAAGACACTGTGGGGTTTCGCGACGCACTGAACCCTGAAGCAAAATCAGATTTCGTTTCGTGGTGTAACCATCGACCCGAAACTCTTCCAAAACCCTCAACCCTTGAAAACAAAAAACAATTCCACACCCTAAGCCCTAAACCGGCCCCTGGAGTCTCTGTCCAATTCGAAGGCTTCGCAGCCATGCACCATAAGGCCGTTTGGGGTTTCAGGGTTCAGGGTAAAGCCTAACAGTGGAACACATAGACCTGAACGACTCGCGATGCAAAGCAGGAGCACGATATACGCCTTGAATCCTGTTGTTTGTTGAGCCCCTTATGCCATTGTAAATAGAGGTGTGAATACTTAGTAGAATGTTCCCCTGTAGTCCCCATGTCGTCATTATTTATAGTAGTATATTGCCCAAAGCACTGTTATGTTCTAATCTGCACGGCCCCTAAACCCTAAACTATAGCCGAGGGGCTTCCACGCTGCTTGATCCGTGTGCACCCGTAACGTGACCGGGGCAGGACTTCGTCGAGCAGCCGCCCTTTGACATGGAGGCACAAGCGGCGGTTGAGAGTGAGATTGAAAGTTAGGTCTCTTCTTCCTCTTTGATGTCTAATGTAATGAGTGAATGGAGTGAGTGATTTGCTTTGTAAGTCAAGGACAAAAGATGATGGATGAACAATGAAAAGGAAGTATGCTTTTTTCCCCTTTAATTATAACACACGCACACACAACTCACGCTATCAACGGCCAAATGCTCAGGAATCCAACAACAAGATTTTGTAACCAGGATCCACATAACCAGGAATTAGTTACTCGTTTCTTACAACTGGAATCCTCCTACAACATCTGGGTCTGTTGGGTGTCGTGTTTGTGCTTTTTTAAATGTGAGAAAGATAATGAAGCGTAAGAAGAGAACGCAAGCGTGCTTTCTTCACGTTAACATCTCCATCCACCAAGCCACCTCATTGCAACAGTGGAAACGCGGGTGAACAAAAGGTCACATTGATTTAAAGAAAGACAAGCGATGGAAGAGTGAAAGAGCGCTTGTTTTCTTTGTTTGAGGCCAGCGATGCTTTTGAAGGCTTGGCACGGCAAGTGGCCGAACTTTGTCCCGCCAAAATGCGTGTCGAGATGAGCCGTAGAGTCAACCTGCCCTGTGGAGAGGACCAAGCGCGTAGACAGCTGCGCAGGAGCGTGGGTTTACTATGCGATGGAAAAATCCGCCCCGGGGATTCTGCCGAACGATCTGCCACCTGCTGGATGAGACACAAGAAGATGGGACTTTCCGAAAATTAGGGCTAGCTTATTTGGGGTCCTTATAATAAGGGTCCTACTATTTAGGATACTATATTAGGGTCTCCTATTTTCGGAAACTTCCAGATGCTTGGGAAGCCTTGAGACCTGCCTGGGTGGTCATTTTCGCGCTTCTTCGTCAACATGGCAGTCGATGCTGGCGTATGGGATACCGAAAGGAAGCGCTCATGGTGCTTTATCGAGGCCTCCATCATGATCAGGGCTTATAGTTAGTGATATGGGTGGTTGTCAAAATTCGGGTCCCTTTTTGGGTACCTAAGATAGCGCGGCACCTATTATGTAGGGTACCCAAAACGGGACCATAGTTTCGACAACCACCCATATAGTTAGAGACTGCGTAGGGGTTTGTGTGTAGTTTGCGTTGGGCATGGAGGTTTAACGTGGGCTTGCCGGTTTTGGCTGCCGGTGCTAGTTGCATTGCAGCTTTGGTCTTGGACGATGCTTGCAATACCACGTGCCATGGTGCTTGAACCAATTCCCGATCCCAAACCTCGAACTCTAAACGACTTTAAATTACAACCAATCTATTTTCCTTGAACTCTGGACCCCAGACACGACAGCTATCGCTCTAAGCCCACACTCGAGAAACCCCTACTAAACCTACTACGCAAACCACGCAAACCCTACCCGACTCCTAGAAGCCTTAAACCCTAGAAAGCTAGAAGCCCTGCGTCCGCAACCCCAAAGCCTACACCTTTTAATTATTGGTTATTATAATCCCTAAGAAACAGCTAAAATTGTATTTTTTGCTAGGGTTCTAAGTTTAGTATAGATATTTGCAGGTGTCTTTCGAAGAGTCCACTTCGATCACTCCCTTCTTCTTCGTGCTTTTCCCAGGCGGGCTTTGGGCTCCGACGGTCCCGGGGGTTCGTAAGGGCTCATAAGAGTCCATAAGGGTTCGAAATCGACAGGGCTCATTAGGGTCTAGAAGGTTCTAGAAGGGTTCATGAGGGCTTACGAGGTTGTGGTTAATAGCTTAACCGGGTTTAGAGTTTGATTTGCGGTGTAGGGGGTTGAAGATTTGGGTGGTGAGGACTTCTACAAAGGTTGTTGTTCAGGATTTCGGTTGTGTTGGCTTTTCAGCTGTTCGGAATGAATGTGGTTTTCATCAGGTGCATACGACTCGACAGTTCAGGGTTCAACGAGTACACAGGTCTAATGCTGCTTTAACATGCATGTGATGCAAGATGAATAGTACCGCAAGTCGAGTTTTCGAGTTCGAAGCTGTAGGCCTCAGGCTAGCCCCCACAGCACGAGAGAGCAGACCTTCAAAGAGCAGAGAGGTCAGGGTTCTGGGTTTCGGTTTTGGGGTTTCAGGTTGGGTCTTAGACTCAAGGATTGGGCTTCAGAAGATAAAGTTTAGGATTTGGGATTTAAGGCCAAACCTAGCACCCCATACCGTCAACAACAAGCCACAAGAAGAATAGTGCCCAAGCCAGAAACGAACACCGTACGCACGCTGGTCACCTAATGACACGTCAAGAAGACTGAGCACGAGGTGATCGAAGACTTTTCTCCCTCATACACAAAATACCTATGCATCGCATTTTTACACACATGCAATTACATAGAGGTAGACGCACACATGTACATTTTGGTTGTCCCTTCTCTCCCGCTCTCTCTCTCTCTCTCTCTCTCTCTCTCTCTCTCTCTCTCTCTCTCTCTCTCTCTATATCTATATTGACATGTCCACATGCAGACATACACACGTGCATATTTTCTAATGCCAACGTATGTGTATATCCTCGTCTATACCTATGTGTGTTTACAGGTGTGTGTGTGTGTGCATATTTAGGTATGTATGTGCATATATAGATTTATGCATGAGTACATGAGCATATAGGTGAATGTGTATGTGCATATATATATATATACACTTTGCATATTTTATACGTAGTGCAGTGCTGATGCAACTCGAAGCGGAGGCGTGGACCCAACGCCGACGATCGAAGCTTTGGGGCGAAAGTTGGGCAAGACGGAGGCTGGCTTTCGAATCTAACAGGGGCTGTGGGGCTTAGCAGAGACTCTATATGGCTTTCATGTTCCGGTCTCTTGTTTAGGGCTTTCATGTTCAGGTCTCTTGTTTAGGGTAGAGGAGGTTAAGCATTTCATAGGCTTTACCAAATGGCGATAGAAAGGTTCTACAGCCTCTTCAATTCCAATGTTGAAAAGGCGCCCAAACCCATACATACCTCCAACAAACTCACACTTCCCTCATCTGGACCTCCTCCGTAAGGATAAGGTTTACCCATTATACCTTAAACCTCTGCTAGTGCTGAAGACTTGTGGGAAGAGTGACACCCTGGTCACCACCCAGGAGATCAAAGACTTCATCAAGAGCATCCAGTTCAAAAACGCTTCGGCTAAGTGAGATTTTCGCTCGAGAGTTCGAGCACCAATGCTTGTCAGCTCAAAGCCTAAACCCGAAGCCCCGAAACCACAAATCCCCTCAACCCTAAACTCCTAAACCCTAAACCCTCCCGAATGGGGGTGCATGGGTGCCCGGCAAAGTTTGACCTGCCCCTGAAGATTCCGCCATGCAGACCTTGGCGACAGTTTCAGACCTTTGGACGAAGCCCAAAAGGTTACAGAACCTAATTCCAATTGATCTGGTTCAGGGCTGTCTTAGGGTTCAATGCTTTGAGGGCCCGTGTTTGGGCTGTTAAGTATGGCTCTGGTTTTTATGGGTGAAGGCCATAGTGACTGCCTGCCGCTGTCGTGCTGCTGCAACAATTTTCCTTGAGACAGGCGAACGGCCAGCTGCTGAACATCTCCATGGGACAGGGTCAGGACAGTCTGCTAAGGCCATGCATGAAAAACGCGGAGATGCATTTCACATTATACCGCAAGCCCTGCCCTCTCAACTCGACAACCCTTAAAGCAAGCCCTGAACTGCAAGCTCTACACCTTCGACTCATTGGCTCCAAGTTTGTAAGCAAAAACATAAAAGCACTAAGCCTTAGTTCTGCAAAGTTCTTCAAACCCGGAACTGCAAGCCCTAAATGGGTATTTCTGAGCCCTAAGCATAGGAAGTTAGGGACATGAGACATACATCAGGTTCTAGGTTTTCTGGTCTAGGTTTTGGGTGACAATCTGGCGTTGGTCTAGGGTGCAGGGCTGAATTATTGTGCAGAGTTTAAGGCTTTGTGTGGTCGAGGTTTCAGATAGAATCAGATAGAGCTGCGGTAAGGTTAGGATCCTTGGTCTTGGAGTTACACAGGTCAACCCCGACTGGGAATCGTCGAGGTCAACAGCACAAACCTACCTGCTTCTCTACTTCAATCGCATTGGCCCAAATAGCATGCAACTGCAGTCTTCGTCACAATTTAAAGCAAGAACACGGCGAGAAAGTACCAGTACGGGAAGGGACTCATCAATAATCAGTAGCGCTTTCAGCGCGCGCGCAGGCAGAATTGCATCCAACCTGCACGTTGCATCGCGGTATACCTGTGCTGTCTTGTCCAAGATGTTGTGAATTGTGCACCTGCACCTAAACCCTAAACCCTTATAAACCCTAAACCCTAAACCCTTATAACTTATAAACCCTAAACCCTAAACCCTAAACTCACCACCAACGCCGCACCGCAAGGAGAAGATCGCTCTGAATGCCATCAACAAGATGGCGAAGGAAGGCGCGCTGGGGCCTTCGGTGCGGTATCGCATATCGGAACGGAATATATAGCCCTGAATCATTAGAACAGGGCTTTTGGGCTTGGTTAGGAACTACGTAGAGGCTCCATAGTACAGGTAGTTCCGTGCCGGGGTTCAAAGTTCGAATCCTATAAGGTAATCCCCCAAAAAGGAACTACTATGGAGCCTATGGGTAGAATGGTGGGCGGGTTTGTATCGTGCTCTATTTTAGGCGGCTCCGACCATGGCAGCTTCTACTCATAAAGGTTTAGGGTTTAGGGGTTGGGGTTGAGGGTTTAGGGGTTAGGATTTAGGGGTTTAGGGTTCAGGGTTTAGGGGTGAGGGTTGACGGTTTAGAGGTTAGGGTCACCAAAGGGCGATAGTCCTGCAGAGAGCCCTCCGATTAAGGGATGTCTCCAGAGGCATAGGAGAGGAGAGTGTCCGAAAATAGGGGAGCCTAGTATAGCACCTCGAATAGATCTACATAGTCGGATCGACCCCAAATGAGATACCCTCTAATTTTCGGAAACTCCCATTGGCTGTCATTTCGATGGCTCAAGCGGTGAGTGGTTAGGTTACTGAGAGTCTGTGGCCATGTGCAGTTCTTGAAGACGGTTTAGGTTTCTGGTTTACGGGTTTGGGCTGTAGGCTCGTTCTCATGGTGGTAAACAACCTGAGTCAAGGTGTAACAGACTGGGGCCGTGAATTGCAGAAGGCAGCCTGCTTTAGGTCGGGGCCGCAGTAAAGACCAACAAAGGCATCGAAACAGCAAACACAAAGACAGGGTTCTGCTCTGGGAGCGCTTACGACTGCACGAATGCTTAGTTTCAGATCCTCACCACGACATGGTAACCAAGAAACATGGGGGGGAAGTGATGTAGGTGATTACACTGGCTACTCCATAAACCGCTGTGCTTTCAAATCTGATTTCCAAAATCCATTCTCAAGCCTTAAGAAGGACTACACCCTGGACAGTGCTCGGTCCTGTTCGTTCAGAGATCCAGATACTTTGTTCAGAGATTCAGATACTTTGCTGATGTAGGGCTGTGAGCTCTCATTGTGCATCAGTAGTTCCGGTTGCCTGAACCGACTGGAACTACACCTGCCCCGTTTGCCAAGACATATAGGTTTTGGGTCTAATTAGGTGGCATGGCATGCAAGCAGGCCCGACTTAGGTTAAGATGGAAGGATTGGCCAGACATTCATCGGAACTGAAACTGTAGACTTAGCTGCCTCGATAACAGTTTAATACCATTTCAACGCATCAGGCGAGCTCGTGGCAAAGTTGTACGTTTCATGGTTTCAGCTTGGACTCATCAGTTGACAGACACCCTAAACCCTTAACCCAAACACTAAGTCACTAAGCTGAACCCCGGAAGATAATCCTTCGGAAAGTCGTGAGCATGCCAGACTGACTCCCTGAGAGGTGGTTGGCTCATGTTGCAGAACATCCACTTGATGCAGGCATGAACCGGGCTGGGCTGTCCCTGCCTTGCGAATCTCTGAGAGTCTTACACTGGTTGGCTTGCTTCGGGGTTTCGGGGTTTGGGAGGCTACTAAAGGGGCTTAAATCATTACCAACACCATTAGGGGGGTTTCTTATTATAAGTATAGTATCATGGGCCCCAAAACCGTATTCTAATTTTTAAGGCCCCTATATTGGGGTTTAGGGGTTTAGGGTAGAAGGCCCCAGGTCGAATGGGGGTGTGCTTTTCATGATAGTCCACGCACTACGGTTGATGATGGAAGCCCTGCATTACCTTAATGACCCTAGACTATCGGAATTATGGTATATTCCGTATTATGGGTAATGCAGGATTTGTATCATCAACCGTAGGTAATTACCAGGTGGGAAGGTCTTTTTGGAGGGAGGCGCTGGGCCCCAGAAAGCCCTAAAATCTTTGAGCCACTTACTTCGAGGTACCGAGTAGGTCTCAACCGCAGCAGTTTAGAAGCATCCCTAGTTTAAGGATCATGGGGCTTAGTAGCCAAGGTTAGGCATGTAAAAACACAAGTTACGATTAAATGCATCGCCAGCCGATAACTTAGTGACTTATGCCTTGCTTGCCGAATCCTTTGATCCTCCACGCGTCACCTGTACTTCAAGCTAAACCCCAAACCCGAAAGCCTACATGTTGAACCGTGAATCCTGAGCCCTCAGCCCCCAACCCTACAGTCCCTAAAGCCGAAACCCTACACTCTCATCCCCGTAAAAAGAGACACACACACACACTCTTAGGGTTTGGGTTTAGGGTTTAGGGCACTAATAAGGGACCCTATATGTAAATATTTTGCAGGGTGTTTAAAGGCCAAGCTAGACAACCCTAAACCCTAAACCCTAAACCCTAACTTCCAAGTCGAGGCTTGGCTGAAGGACCTCGAGCGAGCCTTGGAGGTCATCGAGGAGTTCGCTCACGAGGACCTTAAGCTTAGGTACTATAGGGGCCTAAAAGCAGGGTTATAGGGGTCCCTTTTAAGGGATCTATAGGGGTGCTATATGGGTTTAGGGTTTAGGGTCTGCTTGGAGGATCATGGGACTTAGTAAGTAGGGTTATAAGTACCTTAATTGGGGTTATAAGTGATTATAAGTACAGTTACCTTAATTATAACCCCAGTTACTAAGTCCCATGATCCTTTAAGTAGGGGCCTAAATAATTACCAATACTATTTTGGGGTTCCCTTAGTATAGTAGAGTTACAGTATAATCGGCCCCAAAGCCCTATTATACTTATTGAGGCCCCTATATTAGGGTTCAGCGTTTAGGGCACCTGTGCCTGGGCTTTGGGGGGGGCCAATAGGGGTTCAGGTTTGGAGGGAGTAGCTCCGAAGTGTTGTCCGCTCAGCATCACTGCGAGTGGTGCTGAGCGGCCGCAACATCGGATCAACTGGCAAGTTCAGAGTCTACCTTAACCTACCAAAACCTACTTTTGTGTAGGGTCCCTATAAATTCCATATTAAGGTGTATAATTGGAAACTGCAACAAAGTGGGGTTTGGTAGTTTAAGGTAGGTGTTGTGTAGGGTGTAGCTTTCGCTTTTATCTGGTGTAAGAGCTTTGGTTTAGGGTGAAGTTGTTCATGGCCTATTCGGGTTTAGTTGCTGCCGGTTGTCAGTGAAGTTTTGGGCTTTTCGCGTTTAAGCTTTGTGTGGCTTTGCATCGTAGGTTTCGGATTGGGGACTTGCGCACAGAGCCGCACGATGTTGACAGGGCATTGTGAGGTACTGGCTGTTGAGCTGTTTAGTGTGTGCAGGGTCGGGCCAGGTTATGGTGCGTGGTCTTGGAGTTAGATCCCTAAAGCCTAAATCCTAAACCTTCGTATAACATCCACAAGCCCTCAACCCCCAACCTCCGAGATTCGGGTTCAGATTAGGCTGTGCGATCGGTGGCGCTTCGGGTATCCGTGATCCCGGTTCCGGTGTTTAGCTCGCATGCGGTTTTGGGAGCGGCGTGGATCCCGGCATGAACTTTGCCATCGGCATGAAAATGCCATGCAGTTTCAGCGACTTGCTGTTGATCCCACCTGCGCCCTGATGTGCCCTAAGTATTTCAGACTCCCAGTTACCTGGAACCCTGCTCACCTAGAGAAGCTTGCGTTGGCTGGTCGCCCCCCTGGCGAGCCAAAGGCTTGAGTCCCAATGCCGGCCGCAGCCAAAACGGTATTGTGGAGTAGTAATACGGTTGATGATATAAATCCTGCATGACCCATAATAAGGAATATACCATAATTCCCATAGTTTAGGGTCCTTAAGGTACACCGTGGCAGCTCAGCCCGAGATGTCGTGTCATTTTAAGTAAGCAACAGCCAAGATTAGAACAGCAAGAGCCCCCGTTTTAGGGTTTAGGGTTTAGGGGTTTAGGGTTTAGGGTTTAGGGTAGATTGACAGCAGTTCCAGTATCAGCCGGCAAAAAGTGAGACGAAAGTCAGTCCCAAGGGCCCTGAAGCCCTGATCCCGGAACGCCACATCGATAACCCTAGAATCCTAGACATTTCTAAACCCTAGAGCGCCATCCCTATATAAGCCCAAGAGCCCTGAACCCGCAACCCTAGAATCCTGGACTCTAAACCCTGAGCTGTACAACCCCAGAAACGACAAAAGCATACGCGAGTTACAGGGATATCCCGACCTTATTGAGCTTCATTATATGGGAGGTTTACACGGGATCTCCCTATCCGAGTTCTTGCTTACGTGCATGTTTTGGTAGGTGAAAAATGGCCCCCGAAGCCCAGAAGATTCCAAGGGCTATGTAATGGGTATATAATAGCTCTATTAAGGGTATTATACCTAAGGGTCCTTATTAAGATTAAGGGTCCCTCCTTTTACCCTTCAACAGAAGAGTGCCCAGGACTTCCGCTGCTTCCTCACCTCCGAGCCGCCTGGAGCCATGCAGGGAAAACTCTGGGCACCTCGGATGGCAGAGGTCTTCTGTGGCGGTTGTATGGTTATCGGGTTATAGGGCTATAGTAACGGTAACGGGTTTTAGGGCCTAGGGGTTATAGGGTTATATTAACGGTTATAGGTTATAGGGTGGTTTAGTTTTTAGGGCCAAAGGGTTACAGGGTTAATTATAGCAGCGGTTAATGGGGTTATATGGTATAGGGTTTAGGGCCTAGGGGGAAGTGAGGGTGCAGGTTATAGAGGTGGTTTGACGTGCACGGCCCGCGTTCAAGCGATTTCCTCCGCAGGGTTGCTATCAAGACAGATAGATGTAGGGTAAGGGAAGTATGCAGGAAGTCGAACAACTACTTATAACCACCGTTGGGGTGCTCACAGCCTTACTTACGAAGTCCCTTGACCCTCCAAGTAGGGTTTCGGAAGAAGGGGTTAGCCTGCAAGGCAAACGGCCTGGGATGGGGATGGTGAGTCGAGGTTCGGACCGTGCCCAAGACCCTAAGTTCTAAAATGTTCTAAATAGAAAAAAGATTCTATGCAATTAGATTTTAGAAACAATTCCAAATATTTCTACACCTGCAATCATAAATCCCAAACCCGAAACCAGCAGCTCCGTGCATCCCAGGACCTTATCCCGGAGCCAATTCTGCAGAGGCCGACGCCGGGACTCTTCAACCCTTGGGCATGGAGCCCTAAACCCCCAATCTTGAAGCTACTACAGGGTAGTTGGGGGAGGAGGTCCTGGTGCGTTAACCTCGGTCATGAAATCTTATGTTCTTATGAATCGAGCTGAACGCCCCACTCTAAACCACAAGCGGCAGATCCGAAGCGGGCTTGTGTGACTGTCTCTGTCTGTGTATGCATAAGTAACATCTAAGTATATCAAAACATGTGTATATATATATATATATATACATATATTTGTATATATACATACACACACACACACATGTATGTATATATGTCTGAGCGGATGTATGCATGTACGCATGTTGGCATGTTTGCCTGCCTGGCTTGCCGCCGGCCTGCCGGTCTGTCTGCATGCCGGATGTAGGTAGGTGTGCATGTATGTTGGCTGATACAATGACAGCATACCTTAGCCTACCAAACCCTGCCTTTTTTGTAGGGTCCCTGTAAACTCCATATTATGGTTCATAATAAGAACCTACAAATTTTTGGAGGGTTTGGTAGGTTAAGGTATATGTATATGAAGACTGTAGTGCTGGCGGACCGTACTTGGAGTCCTAACATAGGAGCCTGAACGATTGGCAGCACTATCCTCCTGCTAGCTGGATTGTACTAGAATACGCCACGGAACTCCATGATGCCGTAAGATCGGGAGGAGCATTTACAAACCCTAAACTCCAAAACTCTATCTCCACCCTAAACCCGAAGCCCTAAAACCGTCCTGCCCGCAAGCCCCAAACTCTAAAACTCTATATCCACCCTACTACTAAAACCGCCCCAAACCCTCAGCACTAAAGCCTCTACGCCAAAGCACTTCTTGAAACCCGAAGCCCGGGAGGTGCATCTAATAGCCTTCAACTCTAGACCCTCAAAGGGTGGTTGTCAAAATTATGGTCCCTTTTGGGGTACCCTAAATAATAGGTGGCGTACTATATTAGGGGCCCAAAAAGGGACCATAATTTTGACAACCACCCTAAACCCCTATATAGACTCCAAGTCCCAAACCCTCGAATTGAGCTCTATACCCCAGAGCCTTAACCTGAAAGATGAATCAAGATGGCAGACAGAATCAGACATGATATTCCCTTGGCCATAATCTTTATGGCAGAATGCACGCCCAAGCCCGATTCTAGGATTGTTTGTGCTAGCTACTACTAAATACACTCCAAAACCCTTATTCTAATTCTTAATGCCCCCGAAACCCTCTAAGCCTTAAATCCCAAACCCTAAACCCTAGCAGCTTAAACCCTAAATCAGAAGGCCCCAACGCCAATCCCCAAGACCTTAAACCCTAAACCCTCTATAAGGCTGAATGATATTCATTAAGCCACAGTATTGTTCGTATATTATATGCCCCAAAGCACGATTCTAATAGTAGTACGCGTAGTAACTAGAACCCCAAACCCCGTAATCTGATGTGATTTATAGCAAAATGCACACCTCAGCCCTTATACGAATTCTTCGGGGGGCATTTCTTCACGGATGTAGTGTTGGGAGGGGGAAACTGTGACCTTTTTTCCAGGGGCTGCAGAGCGCTGGTATTTCTTCATGGACTTAGTGTTGGGGAGGGAAAACTGTGCCCGTTTTTTCCGGTGGGCTGCAGAGCCCTGGTACTTCTTCACGGATTTAATTTAGTGTTTGGGAGGGGAAAACTGTGCCCCTTTTGTCCGGGGCTGCGGAGGGCTGGTTTTTCTTCACGGATTTAGTATTTGGGAGGGGGAAGTGCCCGAACTCTAAACCCCTAAAGCCCTAAACCCTAAAGCCCTAAACTCCAAAAGCCCCAAAATCCTAAAATCCTAAAGCCCTAAAGCCCGAAAGGTGCATCACATGTTAACCTTAAACCCCGCCCCAAACCCCTAAACCTTCTAGCCCTCTTAGCCCTAGACCCCAAACCCCAAACCCTAAACTCCAAACCTTAACCTTAAACCCTAAACTCCTAAAGCCCAACCCCAAACCCCAAACCCTAAACTCCTAAACCCTAAGCTCCTAAGGCCCTAAACTCCCCAAACTCCTCAAACTCCTAAAGCCCGTCAGGTGCATCATATATTAACCCTAACCCCAAACCCTATACCCTAAACCCTCTAAGCCCTACTCTTCACACCTTAAACCTTTAACCCTAAGCTCCTAAAACTCCTAAAGCCCTTAAATCCAAAAACTCCTAAAACTCCTGAATTCCTAAACCTTAAAACCCAAAACCTATAACTCCTAAAACTCCAAAAATCCTAAAACTCCCAAAGCTCGCCTATATTAACCTTCCTATAACTCCGAAGGCCTAAAACCTAAAACTCCCAAAAATCCGAAAACTCCTAAAGCCCGAGAGGTGCATCATATATTAACCCTAAACCTTCTAACCCTCAAAGCCCTAAACCCCAAACCCTAAAGCCCTAAACTCCTAAGACCCTAAACTCCCAAAAATCCGAAAACTCCTAAAGCCCGAGAGGTGCATCAAGGTGGCCGACGAGGCGCCGTCGGATCTGAAGTCCAACCTCCGCCGCGCCTACTCCAAGTTCACCCAGGAGCTTTCGATTTTTGTTTAGGGTTTAGGGGTTTAGGGTTTAGGGTTTAGGGGTTTGGGGTTTAGGGTTTAGGGTTTAGGGTTTAGGGGTTTAGGGTTTAGGGGTTTAGGGGTTTAGGGTTTAGGGTTTAGGGGTTTGGGGTTTGGGGTTAAGGGTTTAGGGTGTTTTAAGGGTTCCTTAGGGTGTTTTAAGGCTTCACCCAGGACGCCCTCGGATTTTTTTTTGGGGGGGGGCCTTAGGGCTTTCGGGTTTGGGTATTAGGGTTTATAGGGTTTGGGGTTTAGGGTTTGGGGTGTATTAGGGTGATTTAAGGGTTCCTTCGGGGTAGACTTTACAGACTAGACCTGAGGGTCTAGTTTTTTTTTTTCGTTTCTGGAGTTTGGGGTTTGAGGTTTAGGGTTTAGGGTTCGAAGTTCACCCTGAACCCTCGAGTTTTGGGGGGGTCCTGAGAGCTCTAGGGGCTTCAGGAGTGTTGGGCTTTTGGTAGGGGAGTTTGGGATTTAGGGTTTAGGGCTCTAGACTAGAGGCTTCAGGAGTTTTGGGGGGTCCTTAGGGTTTCAGGGGCTTTTGGAGCTTTGGGTTTAGGGGTTAAGGTTTTGGGGTTTCGGGAGTTTTCGAGTTTTAGGGTCCCTCGGGCTATCGGACTGGAGGTTCTAGGGGTGAAAGGAGTCTAGGCTTCGGGCTTCGGGCTTAGGGTACTTAAAGGATCATGCGACTTGGTAACTACCCAAAGGGTCCTATGTACTGTTATGGGGAATACTTCCCCCAAATCATAATAGTAATTCCTAATATAGAAACCCTACATTCTACTATATCGGTACTTTGGACCCTTTGGGCTAGGGTTATAGTTAAGGTAACTGTACGTATAATTACAGAAAGCCCCAATGACGGTATTTATAACCCTACTCACTAAGTCCCATGATCCTCCAAGTATGGGTTTCGAGGCGTTTACAAGGGTTCCTGCAGGGATGAAGGATCTGGGTTTGGGCGCATCACACCTGTGTAGGGTTTGAGGATTTAGTATAGCGTTCGATTTTGGAGCTCGCTTGGAACTTCGAGGTATTCGCATCACAGTCACTGCACGTCTACAGTTGAGAAGAAACCTCAACCCCAAGCCCTACACCCCCCAACCCCTAAACTGCCTAAACCCCAAAGCCTAACCTTATAAAGCCTAATGACCCCAAACCCAAGAACCCCAAACCCGAAACCGGAAACCCCGAAACCCTGAATTCAAACCCCGCAAACCTAAGAACCCCAAACCTTCGAATGCAACGATTGCGTGGCTGAAGTCAACCCTAAACCCTAAACCGCTGAAGGAGAACATTGACGCTTGCATGAAGCCCCGCGAGCACCTACCCTGGAGCAGGGTTCTGGGATTCAGGGCTTACCTTGAGACCCGGAATAACCTACATTTTCAAGGACATATATGAGGAAATCATATTCAGGAACCCTAAAAAGGTAGGTCATTCAGGGTTAAGGTAGGGTTTGGGGTTGGGAGTTTAGGGTTTTAAAGTTTTTGGGTTTGGGGTTTTGGGCTTAAGGGCTTCAGGGGTTTAGGGTTTGAGGGTTTAGGGTTTAGGCCTTAGAAGGCCGAGGATTTGGGGGTCGTTGGTGAATGACAAAGGATATTTCTGAATATTTAGCATTCAGGTCATGGTGATGGTTATACATACTTCTAGTCGCACTCGTAATGACAGCCCAGACGCACACAACAAGCGTGCGTCAGGTAATGACAGGAGCAGCGGCAGCTGCAACAATGATGAACAACAATGACATCATTAAGCACCCATGGTCGAAAACCTAGCGGCGGATGAAATAATCTGGCTTAGAGCTTGCAGCAGGCACAGAGGTTAAGGCAACTCAGGACATGTCTTTGCCGGGTATGTCGTCAAATATTTTACGCAGGAGTGTTCAGGTGTCCAGAGGTTCATAATATGGGGTTACCATGTAGCCTGGTTGCACCGTGAGGTTTTGTTGAAGATATCGTGTTTTCATCAGGTCTCTAATTTGGGGGCCTACGTAGTTACAATATATCCTTCACCCGTGATTTTCAGACACCTTCAGCCTAAAACACCAAGCATTTTGGACATCAGCCGTCATGATTCATGATTTTTGGGGCTTGCTGTTTGGCGAAGATCTTGGGCATGTAAACGCAACTCGCACCTTTTGCTAGCAGGGTCCTTCCTATGGTCTCCATTGTAGTTCCTTTTTTTTGGTTCAACCAATTATATATTAGGGACCCTATAAGGTAAAAGCCAGAAAGTTGGAATATGATTATCCTAACCCTTCTATGGTAAATTATAGGGTATCCTACCATGAAACCATATTCCAACTTTCTGGAGTTCCCTGTAAGGTAACCTAAAAAAGGAACTACAATGGAGACTATAGGTTCATAGCGGGGATTCACAAGAAAGCCTCCACCTTTTTCCGGAAGCCTCGGCGCCGCCATCCTCTGACCAGTAGAGACCAACGAAGTCGGAACTCCTCTGGTGCCAAATATGCGCGAAATAACCCTAACCTGAAGCCATAATATAAGTCTTAGACCCCGAAACCAGAGCTCCAAAAAGGCTTCATTGCACTTTAAAAACAAAAAGCAACAGAGCTTATAGGTTCCGGGTTAGGTGGCTCCTGGATCAGGATTTTGTGCGCATGGCCTCTGACGGACACTATTTTAGGATGCACCAAGTCCGAAGCACAGCTGAGGTTTAAGGCAACGCTCTTTGCGCTCTGCTTCTTCCATTCCCTGATCTCAGGAGCTGCGCACGACTCTGATTGTAGGGCTTTGGAGATCAGGGATTTGAGATTTGGGGGGCTTTTGTGTGACCGCGCTCGGATGCTGTTTTGTGGATTGGCGCTCGGGCACAGTTTCGTAATGAGATCAGCGAAGGTGGGTTGATTATGAGCATGCTGACAAGGTTACACGGCATAGTAAGTAGGCTTACCGCTGGGCATGTGAAAAGAGAGGCTAGCGAACAAGCGAGTCAGGGCTGATGATAGGATTCTGCACGAGGGAGCCTGATACGAAAGCCTGGATAAGCAGGTCTACCCATTTCAATACACAGCCTAAATCCTGAATCCTTTACTTGAGCCCGAAATAAATCCGACAAAACGTGACCCTAACCGAAAACCCGAAACCGATAAGGTCCTGGGGCCTCTTCGACACTGACTCGTTTGAGATTAAGGGATTTAAGGATTCAGAGTTGTTCTTATCAGCCCCATGTCCCACCCTTATGTACCTTAATTAACCTACCAAAAGCTACCTTTTTGTAGGGGCCCTATAAATTCCATATTAGGGTTTATAATAGGAACCTACAAAAAAGTAGGGTTTGGTAGTCTGAGGTACGGTTAGGGCTCATGTTTCTTGATCTGTTTCACCCGAAACCTGGAGCTCTTCTTACTATATGGGCCTAAAAAAGTACAAAGATACTCTTGGGGGTTCCTTATTACATATATATATATATATATATATATATGCATATATATATATATATATATGTGTGTGTGTGTGTACACATAGTATCATGGGCACTTAAAGCCGTATTCGAATTGTTAAGGCCCCTAGATTACCATCCTGCCTGTGGTCACCGCCCTTCACACGAGCTTACAGCCCTTTATATATTTCAGGCCCTAAACCCTAAACCCTAAACCCTAAACCCTAAACCCTTCGAAACACCTATAGATCTCATAAAGGCGTTCAACATGTTGACAAAGCCCGACGCAACCCTAGTCTCGCTCGTAGTGCTTCGCACAGCTTCGCCTGAAGGTCTCCCGCAAAGGATTGGGGGTTCAGGGGTTTACGGGCTTAAGGTTTAGGGTTTAGAGGTTTAGGGTTTGGGTGGTTCAGGGCCCCAGGTCCCGCGATAGTGTAGGGTTCAGGGTTCGGGGTCTAGTACCAGGCTGGTACCCGTATTCCCTGTTCGGAATCCCTAACATATTTATAGTTCAAGTCACCAGACCTCAGTCATCTGATTAAGGCCTATGAAATAATCGAAGCCGGAGAAAGTTGTGCAGTAAACCATGAAGAAACTTGAGGAGACGTGTTGAAGCGCCATGAAGCCCTACAAAGCCCTGCATGGCTTTTCAGAGCGGGTTTGTGGGTCTTGAGACCACCGGATTCGATAACTAGGGGTTGGGTGTGGCGCGATGCAGGTTAGTATATCGGGAAGTGCATGATGATTATTATCCCCTTGGATCCTTGGGCAGGGTGTTCAAGATACACGTGTTCGAAGGCTTCGGATTCAGGAACATCCTTGTTAAGCCCACTTCTGAATTCCCCACATATAAGTCAGGAATACCCTGAACCCCTTACTTTCAACTTTGCGCCCGAATCCCAAGCAGCAGCTGTGGTTCTGGACAGGACGCATTAAATTCGGCGCCCAGGGTTGGCTGGGGACTCGGACGCCATCCGTATCTCTGAATGTTACATACATGCAGTACATGCAGAGTATATACCTATGTACACCTACGCTCACTTACATAAGCACGCATGCCCTTTCATGCACACACACAGGCATACATACACATATACAGAAGCATACGCACATGTATACGCACACGCACGTACACGTACAGGTACGAATGAGCACACGCAGAAACACACACGCACTGGCACACACACACACACACATGCACATGCACGCAAGCACACAGACACACTGACACACAGACACAAAGACACACAGACACAGAGACACACAGACACACAGACACACAGACACAGCCACAGACACAGACACAGACACAGACACAGACACACACACAGACACACACACAGACACACACACACACACACACGGACATAAAAAAAAACACACACACACAAACACACACACACACACACACACACACACACATAAGCACATGCACGCAAACACACACACACACACACACACACATACACACACACACAGACGCCGACATACATGCGTACATTGGTATACATGCATGCGTACATACACACATATATCTATATGTATACATATACATATATACGCACACACGCACGCATGCACACATACGCACGTACATAGCTGTCTACGAACGTACTTGCATGCGTACATAAGTATACATACACGCACGCATGCATGCGCACACGAGCGCGCGAGCATGCACGCACACACACACACACAAACACACACACACACACACACACAAACACACACACACACACAAACACACACACACAAACACACACACACACACACATGTATACATGTGCAGATACATGCATATGTACATGCAAGCCTGGTCTACATGCATGCATACATACACCTATGCAGTTGCAAGCCCGCAGAACCATCAGTCCTGCACACTGAAGCAGAGGCTCTACATCCACGAGCCCAACCCCGGACTTCGAACATTGAACCCACCGACACTCTCTCTCTTTCTCTCTCTCTCTCTCTCTCTTTCTCACTTGCTTTGCCTCGTGCTCTCTCTCTCTCTCTCTCTGTGTTTCTCTCGCGCATTCAAAAAAGAATATAAAAAACGAAGCAGTTTTAAACTTGCAGCATGCTAGGCATGCATCCGTCCAAGATGTAGTCTTCCTAGCTCACATGGGTTGCTCCGCCTTGCACCGCTAGTGACACTAGTGGCATGCCGGCAGAGAGGGTATCTCCCAAGCTCAAAGTGCAAAGATCCGGATCTAGGGGGTTAGGGTAAGAATCCCTTCCTTCCTTGCCTTAAGTTGGAATGCCCCGAAAACCCCAAAAGAAGCATTAAAGAAGCAAACAAAACCAAGTTGAGCCGCCAAAACACTCTCGGATCTTGCAAGGGATCCCTAAACCCAAGCACCCAAGTTTCTGAGGCCCTGAGGCGCCGAGCCCTCAACCCAAAAGCTCTAAGCCGAAGACCACTTGGGCTCTTAACTTGCAGCCCCCACATCCTAGACCGTAAAAGCCGTAGGCCTTAAACCCCAGAACTCGTATAGAAGCCTTATATGACACGTTTATCAGCAATCACCCTAGGCCCTGAACTCGAATCCCTAAATGCTAAGCCCCTAACCCTGAGCCAACTCAACCGGCCCTAATCTCTAAGCCCCAACTCCAAAGTTGCAGTTGCAACTAAACCTGTGGCTTAGGGCTATGCCAGGTCGAACAGTTATCCCCATGTTATCCCCTTACAGTTCCCGTATATCAGCATAGACTTAAAGATTAGAGTAGGGTGTTGGGGTATATGCCGGTAGAGATCTGTTTTTTTAGTATATTAGAATTAATCAAAGCTCAGTATTACCCCTACAACCCTTCCTATTATACCTATTGAGGTCGAAGAAGTATCCGTTCAACGATGGAGACCTGACGATCTGCCTTTGCCTGAGATGTGTGTTGAGGGATGCGTTGTTTTTAGGATGATTTAGGGTGTTTAAGGGCTGGGTTTTGGGGTTTAGGGTGTCAGCATTGTACAGCCTCAACCGGTGACCCCACGCTCCAGACCCTGAGCAGCCCTAAATCCTAAAGTTCCACAGCCCCAACCCTAAACCTTAAGCCCTACCTTAAACTACCAAACCCTTTTTTTTGTAGGTTCCTACTTTAAACCCTAATATGGAATTTATAGGGACCCTACAAAAAAGTAGGTTTTGGTAGGTTAAGGTTTAGGTCCCAGGGCCTAAACCTTTAAACCCAGACCCCCACCCCTAAGGATCTGAAGCCTTCAACCCGAAATCCCAGCACGAATCCACATCTCCTCCCTGGTTCTTAGTAGGGAATGCGGGAAATGGATTTATGGGGACTTTTATTGGGGACTTTCTGGGAGTTTCCAAAAACTAGGGGTACCCATTTGGGGAGCCTATTATTTAGGGTACTATATTAGGGCCCCCCTGTTTTCGGAAACTCCCATATAGGGACGACTGTGGGGATCCACTCCCCCATTTCCTTCTAAGCACCAGAGAGACGAGTCCACATCTCAGGCGGAACGGTGCTGAAGAACTACCTGAACAATGCAGAGAACCTGGGAACCGAGGCTTCTTCAGCTGGGTTTAGGGGTTAGGGGTTTAGGGGTTAGGGTTCAGGGGTCAGGAGTTTAGGGTTTAGGGTGAGGATGGGCCTTTAAAGGCCTCTGTAAGCATTTTGCAGGTTTGCAGTGTAAGGCTTCAGGGCTTATTCAAAGAAGGAAGGCTTGAGCATTGAGCCTAGTTCAGTTTTAAGCTTAAAAGTGCGGGCCCCAGGCTCCAAAGTACAGGGTTGTGCGTGGAGGTCATTGCCATGCATATTGCGATGCTCAAAGCTACGGCAGGCTTTGTGTCTTTAGGTCCTACATGTATCTACATATTCAACATGACGAGAGAGAGAGAGAGAGAGAGAGAGAGAGAGAGAGAGAGAGAGCGGAGACGTACAATGCGATAGTCTGGGCTTTGCCGGACCTATCGACGAGAGAGCACAGTAGCACTTGTGTCGCACATGTGTGCACTGAAAAGTGAGAAGGACGTGGCAGTTTTTCAGCTAGCACAGCGTACGCTCCTGTCTACGACGCAGTGACAGCTGCATCGATTTTAGATCAGGGCGACCATTACCTTGCTTGAATCGAGTGGAATAGGAAGTGCCTCTCCGGCCGGATGACTTGGCAAGGTCAGAACGCCCCGTAAACGGTCGGAACATGTGCGAGGGGTGTTGGAAAAGAGAACTAGTGCTCATTTTCATGCACAAGAAGTTGGACAAGAAGTGCGGCCAAAAATAAGCACAAAGCAACAGCTGCAGTAATGAAGAATCTATGTGATAGCTACTGCTAACGAAGCTGCTCTTTCATGCAAATCGCGCTATACCTCCATGAGGGCACCATATGCCCCTGCAGCACCCTAAACCCTAAACCCCAACCCCTAAACCCTAAACCCCTAAACCCGAAACCCCTAAACCCCTAAAACCCTTAAACCCCTAAACCCTATTCCCTGCAGCGCCAGTCTTCGACTCTTTTTTTGCAGGTTCCGTGGCCCGACCTCCGGTACATTTTCGGCGAGATCATGTACGGCGGCCATATCACCGACTCTTGGTTTATAGGATGTAGGGATTTAAAGGTTTAGGGATGTAGGGGTTTAGGGATTTAGGGGTTTAGGGGGTGAGGATTTAGGGGTTTAGGGGTATATAGGGTTTAGGGGTTGAGGATTCAGGGGTTTAGGGTGTTTAGGGGTTTAGGCTGTAAGGGGTCTAGGGCTTAGGGGTTTAGGGTGTAGGGTAGTTTACCTGTGAGGGCCTGTATTGGGCCTCTATGAGCCTCTTACACTTCGGGCTCAGGGTTTAGTGGACCCAGATTCCGACCCGTAATGTAGAGGTCCGAGCTCTGAAGGATCAGAAAGAGAAGAACGGGGCTTAGAATGCGATTAATACCTAAAGCAACAACAAGAACAATAACAAGAACACACATAACAAGAATCAGCCTCATGAGCAAGACTAGTCACGACACTCTTCCTCTAACCTTGTTTCCATTTCCCTGAGGACCCCGAACTTCTTCTTGAATACTGCCTTTATGAACCAAAAACTAGCCCCCCAAACTCCTAAACCTCACCTGCAGCAGAAACCTACATATTGAGGGATTCTCGTCATGATTTCCTGTGTCTTCCATGAACAAGGTTGTTGTTGGTCTACAGCTACTTCCTCAAAATCTAAATCCAAAGCCTCATACCGTAAATATACTTGTTTTCTTCCTTCGGGTTCCATGCTATACTTGTACTATCATGTAACCCAACACCCTACTCTAATCATCAAGGCACCTATAGTAATTCCTTAAAGCTCCGCTCCCTAAACCCAGAGACCCCTGAATGAAAGAATATACCGTAAACCATAAGGGGATTCATAGCATGATTTACTTGAACCCTAAACCCTAAACCCTAAACCCTAAAGCTATGGGCTCTCCGCAGACGGTTGATGCGCCCAGGACCCGTGGGACCGACGGGTCCGATGCTGAGTCGAGGGTTGGGCAGAGAACGTAGAACCCTAAGCATAGGGTTTAGGGTTTAGGGTTGTGGACTTTGCCATTTTGCAGTTGGATTTAGATGCGTTTGTTTTTTCAGCTGGGTTTAGGGAGTTTAGGGTGGTGGGGGTTTAGGCTTCTGCAGACCGGGAAGGATTAACATGCTGTTGTCTAATGAAGGGTACAGAACTTGGGTTATTGCGCGGAGATGAGGGGCTCGGGTCCAGATTCGGGGTCCACTGAGTTTATGTGTTCACGGTCTAGAGTGTAGAAGCGCTTTGCGACTCGGTTAGGGCTTGGCATGCCGCCTTACGTATGTCCATGTACGTGCCTAACGAATGTGATGCTCCGAAAGTGCAACAGTCGAAACCCTAAACCTGGAGCCTGGTTCTGAAAAAGCCATATACATACATAGTCATGTACATCTCCAGATATACAGATGCGCGAGACAACATACACAAACATACATCTAAACAGATACACACATACATAAATGCAGATAGGGTGAACAACACCTACTTTTCGGGACATTTCGGGACCATATACCGCAAGTTGAGGGTAAAAGGAGGGTCCTGATAAACCCCAAACCCTCAACCCTAACCCTAAACACCCTAAACTCTGAACCGTAAACCCTAGCCCCAAACCCTAAACCCTATAAAACATAAACCCTAAACCCCTAAATCCCCTACTCCCTAAAAACACTGAACCCCAAACCCTAAACCCCTTAAATCCCTTAATCCTTAAGCCCTAAACCCTAAACGAGAGGTGAACAACACCTACTCCCTAGCCCTAAACTCTAAACCCTATTTTAAAAATGAGCCTTAAATGAGAGGTGAACAACACCTACTCCCTAGCCCTAAACTCTAAACCCCATTTTAAAAATGAGCCTTAAATGAGAGGTGAACAACACCTACTTGGCAGTGCTTGTCACGCCAGAGCTGTTGGCCGGCGGCAACCTGGCGCCCGGCTTCAAGTCACCCGTGGCCTGGCGGGTTTAGGGTTTGCCTATAGTCTCCAGTGTAGTTCCCTTTTTTGGTTTCAGTTTTATGGTTAGGACCCTACAATAGAGATTTTGGTTAACCAAAAAAGGAAATACAATGGAGACTATAGGTAGGGGTTAGTGTTTAGGGTTTAGGGTTTAAGGGTTTGGGTTTAGGGTTGAGGATTTATAGGGTTATAGGGTTTAGGGTTAGGGTTTTTGGGGGTTAGGGGTTAGTAGGGGTTAGGGTTTGGGCTTTAGGTCTTTGGGGTCAGGAGAACCCTAGCCATGCAAGTATAGGCACACGGAAACTACTTTCGCGCTGGAACAGCTGTCAATGCTTTATACGTTGGGCTATTTGGCATCTCACGGGGCGGATTGCATTTACCTTAGACCCACGGCCCTGAAATTCCAATTTAACTCCAAAGCACGCTTGCCCTGAATCAAGAAGGCAAGTGACACCGAAAATCCTAGCAATCAGTCCAAACCGTCTGAGTCTGCCCAACTATGAAACCGAGGACCGGCTTGCCAGCTATCCAAGTAAGCGAAGTATGGGCAGGGTGCTGCAAGGTGGGGGATCAGGTTTCGAGAGTTTCGGGTCCAGAGATGTTCGGTTGCAGACTTGAGGGTTTTGCGGTTCAGGGCTTGGGATTCAGGCTCTATTCTTCATGTTCGTATAAGCACGAAACCTTCAAACCCAAGACCTACAAAAACACGAAAACGGTTAAGCCCTGAACTGTACCACCAAAAGCCGGGAAGCAACAGGTCAAGGATCAGCTAAACACTAAACCCTAAACCCTCGAAAAGTAACACGCCGAGGATGCCAGCAAGCTTGAGTATTCGCATTACGTCAAGTACATCGAGGAGCGATTCCCCCTGGAGGTGCCGCAGATGTTCGGACTGTGGCTTGGCTTGAGGGTTTTGGAGGTTTCGGGGGTTTAGAGTTTAGGGTTCAGGGTTTTGGGTTCAGGGAGGGCGAATTCATGAGGGTTTTCAAGGTCTGATTCGGAGTCGTATCCGAATCCATAGTTTTCATTGGTCCGCGGCAATACGAAAGACTCGAGGTCCAAAAGCGTACCATCCCTGCAGGTGTAGGGCCAACCGGGACTGGGTTGGGGGAGTTACTATAAGGGGTCTTAAAAATTACCTATACTATTTCGGGGGTCCCCAATTATAATTACAGCCAAAACCCTATTTCAATTATTAAGGCCCTTATATTACAGAACCCTTTCATCGATCCCTTTAAAGGAGCCCTATTCCGTTATTAAGGGCCCTCATATTGGGGCTTTAGGGTCCATTTTTATCCGACCGACCGAGGCACCCCAACGCCGAGATCGGATTCCTGACGAATCAGGGCATCAGCATCTTCAAGACGATTCAAGACCCCCGGCTCTGATTCGCAGTCTTTAAAGAGTACTAGGTGTTACAAAAAGGGTAATACTTAAAGAAAGCGCAATGGCTCTGATCTGTCTGGTTCTTAGTGGGGGCTGGGCGGATGGGTTATTGGGACTACTATTGGGGATTATTTAGGAACTACTATAGGGATCCATTCCCCCCATTCCCAACTAAGCACCAGGGCTCTGATGGTCGTCACTGTCCCCACGCTCGTGTCAGCAACGTCACCGTCGTTGTCGTCATCATGATCGATCAACTCCGTGTTCGTGCGGGGCTTTATGAGTGTGACACACATAATTTCTCGGTAGCCACGAATTTTAACATGCAGGTTCCATACTAAGGATGCATCACTGAAGCCCTATAACAGCCCTAGAGCCCGAATCCTCTCTCCAGCTCTTGCCTGTCGGGTTGTACAGGGAGTGAGTCTTGCTTCAGGGTCTGAATCATGAGTGCTAGTATTCCCTTATTGCATGACACTCCCTGTATCAGCCTACAGTAGTAATTCCGCAACCCCATTCTGACAATTAAGGTCCCTGTCTCTTACCCTCTATGCTCCTGCAAAGCCCTTTCCTTGTCTCTCTCTATCACTCTATCTCTCTATCTCTCCGTCTCTCTCTCTTCCTTTACCTCTCCATCTCGCTATCTCTCTGTCTCGCTATCTCTCTATCTCGCTATGTCTGTATCTCTCTATCTTTCTATCTATCTCTATCTCCCTATGTCTATATATACATGTAATATATATATATAGAGAGAGAGAGAGAGACACACACACAGACACACACAGACACACACAGACACACACACACACACACAGACACACACACACACACAGACACACACAGACACACACAGACACACACAGACACACACACACACACAGACACACACACACACACACACACACCAAACACACCAAACACACCAACCACACACCACACACCACACACCACACACCACACACCACACACCACACACCACACACCACACACCACACACACACACACACACGTACGTATAGACCCGTGTCGCCACAAGGAGATCACCGGCGGAGGTGGAGGTGGCGGCTCCGGCGACATCTCCATGGCCCAGCCGATCATCACGAACTACCTCGGGAAGCTTCTTGTCTCGACCGTAGAGTATGAATTTTGGGTTTTGGGGTTTCAAGTTTATGGCCTAGGGTTTAGGGATTGAGGTTTGGGTTTAGGGGTTTAGGGGTTCAGGATTTGGGGCCAAAGGTTTGAGTTTAGGGTGGTTTCCCATGCATACTGCAGGTACTAAAATTCCGGGTAGTTAGTAGTTGCCGCATTTCGAGGGGGTAGGACGCTTTGGGCAGTAATTTTCCAAGTTAGTCCGGACTTTGAGGGAATCCCGTGTCTCACTCATGGACCACGCCAAAATTCAAAGCACAGAAAACCCTCCCCCCTTAGGCCACAGCCCCAACAAAGCCGCAAGCCCTAAACCCTACATCCTAAACCCTGAACCTGAAACCCTAAAGCCTGATAGACTGTACCCATAGGCCCCAAAGTAGTTCCTTTTGGGGATTACCCTATAGGATTCTATATACGAACCCCAAAAACGAACTACTTTGGGGCCTTTGGGTAAAGCTTCAAAATCGAGGCTCCCAACGAACCTCGACATGATTGACATCCGAGGCGCGTTTCCTCGTGAAGCCGGGTTTTCGGGTTTGATATCCTGGGGTCTTAGGATTTTAGGGGTTTCGGTGTTGTTTACGGCTGTCTTGGGATTTTTCGGGTTTAGGGCCTAGGGCTTCGGAAGTTGAGGCAAGGGCTATTCTGGGTGTTAGCATTTAGGGATTTTTTGGGATTTCAGGGCTTTGAGGGTCTATGGTGTAGGATTCAAAAGAGGTTTCGGGGTTTCATCATTTTGCGAGGTGGATTCTAGGGCTTAGGTGTACTCAGGATATACCGTGTTGAGTGATGGACCCTTTTGAGTCCTCATATACATTGGCAGTGAGCAAGGTTCATCACCCTTCATCCTCAACCCCGAAACCCTCAAATCCAGAGGCCGGCCCCTTCAAGCGCTGGGCCTGAATCCTAAACCCTATAAACCCCAAGCCCTAAAACCTCAACACGAAACCCTAAACCAAAACCTTAAACCCAACCTTCTGTGAGGCCGGCTGAAGGAAGAAGACTACACTCCCTTCGTCATGGTCTCGCTGCAGGAGGCAGGCCATTGGTTGGAGGATCATGGGACTTAGTAACTAGAGTTATAAGTACCGTAATTCGGGTTATATAAGTACTTATGACTTATAAGTTATAAGTACAGTTACCTTAGTTATAACCCTAGTTACTAAGTCCCATGATCCTTTAAGTGGGTGTAGCCCATCTCCAGGGGCTGACCTGAGTGCTTCTTCGCACTACCCACAGGCCCCAAAGCAGTTCCATTTTGGGGTTCATATGAAAAAGTCTATAGGGTAAACCCAAAAAGGAACTACTTTGGGGCCTTTGGGTAGAGGGCTTGCAGGGGGTTTTGATCATTTGTTTGATAATTTGGGTGACTGTTTTCTTCAGAGTCGACGCGCAGTATTCAGGGGGTCCTGAAAGTCTAGTTCTGGCTGTTCCGGGTCCAAAGTAAGGCCTCTTACTTTTCTGAGAATTCAAGGACCATAGGTCCACGAAGGGGCTCTGTGAAGGAGATTGTTGGCCCTCAACTCCAAACTAGACCCTAAACCCGAAACCCCGAACCCTAAGCCCCAAGCTGCAACCTTCATTCCCTCCAACAAAACCCTGACGCTTAAACCCGAAACCACCACAACCAAAAAGACTCTAAATCCCCGGCCCCAGACCTTCAGCCCGAATCTCTAAACCATGAACAATAAACGGCCGACCGAAACTTAAAGTTTTGAGCCCTAAACTCTAAACCTGTATCTGTAGGCTCCTTAGGAATTATGCTTCGTTTTTGTTCATAGCAAGCCCAAGAGAAGATTTAAACCTATTTTTATTATAGCTCTAGGGGGGGCGGTATAGATATTATACCCTGCAGCCCTAAGCCTTCAGCCTTAAAGCCCTCAAACCCTAAACCTTAAAGCCTTAAAACCCCTAAAACCCTAAGTCTTAAACCTGAGAGCCCCAACACCCTATGCATAGGCCCCAGAGTAGTTCCTTTTTGGGATTACCTTATATGAACCCCCAAAAGGAACTATTTTGGGGCCTATGGGTAACCCCAAAGAAACATCCGAAAAGGCCGACCGCGTGAATGGCCTGCTGGATCAGATCCGAGGGTCAATGCTCGAGCTGGAGTTGGGCCACTTGGAGCCGTTTAGGATTTAGGGGTTTGGGGTTCAGGCTTGAGGGTTTAATTAGGGGTTTGGGGTTTCGGGTTTATAGGGTTTAGGGGTAAATTGGGGGTTATGGGGTTTGGGGTTCAGGGTTTTGAGTTGGAGTTGGGCCCCTTGGAGCTGTTTAGGGGTTATAGGGTTTAGGGGTTTGGGGTTCATGGTTCAGGGTTTACCTTAACCCCAAACCACCTACCTTTTTTGGGACTTATATAAGGAAATCATAATAAGGATCCCTAAAAAGGAAGGTTATTCAGGCTTAAGGTAGTGTTTAGAGTTTTTTGGGGTTTTGCAGGGCTTCGGAGATGGAGTTCTGTATATGACTCGATCGTTTGTTTTTTTTGTTTTTGAGGGGCGGGGGTTCGGATCTCGGTGCTGTTAGGGTTTGGTTTAGCACTTTTCGAGCTCTTCACAACCGTATCTCGGACCTACTTCCGGCTTCTATCTTAGGTTGTGGTGCTTGTTTCGTGCTATTTCTTGTGGTCAGTGCCACGTAAGAGCGAGAAAGTACACCAGAATCTTACCTACTATATGGGCCTAAATAAATACCCAGACTTCTTTATGGGCTCCTTACTATAGTCATAGCATAACAGGCCCCCAAACCCTATTCTAATTATTAGTTATATTACACCTCGGAGTTGTTCCATGGTGTTGGTTGGATTGCTTTTGAAGGCTTCCGGCTGGGGACTCTATGTAAACCCTCATCCCCAAGCCCTAAACCACAAACCTTACACCCTAAACAAGGAAGGTGCCGCAGCTTGTGGGGTTTGGGTTTTGGGGTTTGATGTGTTGCATGGACTGTGTTTGCATTGAGACCTTGAAGCCCGATTACTCTTTTCCGGTCCTGAACACTTTGCAGAATGTGCTTTCGATATGTATGGCTCCGAAAACCCGAGTCTCCAACAGTAGCGTGCTGTGCTCTCGGAGGGCCCAGCGGCAGTTTCGGGAAGTTCAGAGGTAGCTCACAAGTAACATAGCAAAGCAGCCGATGCTTGACCAAGCGAAACCCGCAGCCCCAAACACAATCAGACCTCCGCCCGGTGACATCAGCATCACAACCCCCAAACTTGAAGCTGTGAAGCCTCAACTCCTTATATAATATAAGGGCCTAGCATTAATATACCCCCTCTCCCAAAAAAAAATTCTAAGTACTAAGGCCCCTATATTAAACCCCCGGGCCGCCTAAGCTCTTTGAGCCCTATGGTCAATCCCTACTTGAACCCTGAAGAACCTGCTTTTTTAGGTCTCCTTTTTATGATTTCTTTATATAAGTCCGTAAGAAGGTAGGATATTCAGGGTTAAGGTACACCCTAAGCCCGAAAACATGAAATCTAGGGTTTGGGAAGTAGGCTTTGTTTGGAGCGCAGGGCTTGACAAGGGGCTTGGAATGCTTGTGATTGTCGGTACTTCGGGAAGTAGGATTCATTCGATTCGTTCCGCTTTAAGCTTTGTGGTGGGTAATGTTTGCAATATGATATTCAAACGGTAAAACCCTATATTACGACTTGGGCTGAAGGTATCAGTGGTGCCCTGAACGTCACAGAGAGGATGGAGGCTGCGTCCACAGAACCATGTGATTATAGGAGTGATCGTACTTAGGGCGCCTTGCTGAGGGTGTATTCGGGTGTCGGTTTGAGGATACTCGTCTGCAGGTAAGCACTTGATATATCTAATCCCCTGCCCTTTAGCTGGTTTCAGATCTCCCTATCACTAATGTCCTTCAAAGGAGCCTAAGCCCCAACTGACCGTCGGATCCCAACAGCCCTCGGAGCCTGTTGCCTACCCTCCGGGCCCACGCACTTTGAGAAAAAACAGTATACCTATAGTCTCCATTCTAGTGCTTTCTTTTGGTTAACCAAAATCTCTGTTATAGGGTCCTAACCATAAAACTGGTTAACTAAAAAAGGAACTCCAATGGAGACTATAGGTATACTTTGGCCTTGGAGTACTTATACGAGTGCACCTCCGATGAAGGCCAAAGCAAGCACTGCTCTGATTCTTAGGGCAGTAGATCTACATTGCAGGCTACTGATCAAGAGACCTTACAGTAGCCACAGGCCAGCAACCCACTACATTTGTACTTGGGCTTTGAGGGAGAGTTGTGTTGGGAAGAGACTAAACTCAAATTCCGGGTCCCACATCTGGACCCTGAATTTAAGCGTCCAAACCTCTCAACTCTGAGTTACTTACAGTCTCCATTGTAGTTCCTTTTTTGGTTGACCAGCTTTATGGTCAGGACCCTATCATAGAGATTTTGGTTAACCAAAAAAGGAACTACAATGGAGACTATAGGTAGACTCCTACATGAATCCTCATCAAACCGTGAGTCGTACGGCTGCCTATATACACTTTTCCAAGTCGTAAGTCATAAGTGTGTCGACACGCTCAGCGCGGAAATTAGCTACCGTGGCCGTACTAGGGAATGCTGGTACTAATCATTGAGCCCCCTACACTAGCTTGAAGCACTGTATAGTGAAGCGTTTTCTTTGAAACCTTGGTAACGAAAACGTCCTGAGCTTCTGAGCCCGAAGCGCTGGAGCAACTCGAGGGTTTAGCGTTTTATTTACTTCCGACAACATGACTGCAGGTAGAGCCTTAAAGGCCCCGGTGAAATCTCCACGAAATGTGTCAATTGCTGGCAACACCAGGCACTGAGCGCAGACCTCCAGAGCAACAAGGTGAATGCCGGCTGGGCCGAGAAGGCCAAACATCGTCCTGTTCTAAAGCATCTTATGTTTTCATGGAGGGTGTATAAACAAACCCCACGTCCTATACCCTATGTTTTTGGCTTAAGTCGTTTAAGGCCGTTTAGGGTTTGAGCGCTTCTGGGGATTATTGTCTCTCAAGGTTCCGTGCCGGGGCTTCAAGGTCTGGGATTTGGGGAGGTTCAGGTATTTTCAAAGAGTCTGCAGTGTACAGTCTGGGTCTTTCTCGTGCTTTATTCAAGAGCTCATGTTCTGTTGCCCTAGCTTGAACTACCAAAACCTACTTCTGCAGGGTCCGCATAAATTCATTATCAGGGTTCATTGTAAGTTAGAACCGACACAACAGCGGGGTTATCGCAGTTGTTCAGGGTAGAGAGTGTAGATGTGGAAGGACCGAGGAGGGTCTTTAACGTGTCTTTAGTTTGGATTTGTTACGATGTGACCCCTGAACAGGCGCAAGACCGCCGGTGGCTAACCTACTCCCCTTTGGAACTCAAGGTTCAGGACCAGTAGTCCTTGGGGTTCCTTTTTGGTTGCGGTAAAACCGTACTATAATGTACCCCAAAACCCTCTTCGAAATATCAAGGCGCCGGAAGAGCCTATATTGAACCATTAGTAGTCTAATAGATAACCTTTAACCTTTTGGTGTACCATAATCCCTATAAAATCACAATATACACCCACAGGTTAACCTTCAATAAGTTCCCCAGGATACTCGACAAGTGAGCGAACCCTTCAAACTCACAGTTGCCTCGAAGGCGTACCCCTCGCTGAAAGCTTTGAGCGCCTGGTTTGATGACTTCGCCGGGGCCTCGGTAACAGCCAAAGCAGCCGAGTATTTTGATTTGAGGGTTTAGGGTAGGGTTGAGGGTTTGGGGTTTAGGGTGTAGGGCTTATAAGGGTTTAAATCGGGCTTAGGGTTTAGCGTTTCGGGTACTTACACCTCTTGGGTGGCGCTGTAAGCCCTGACATCAGATGCGCGGACGCTGCCCTCTACTGGGCAGCCTGTATAGAACAGGACCCTAGACCGAATAGCCTTGGTTCCAGACCAATCCTGGATTCTTGATACAGTAAGGGCTTCAGTTTAAGTTGCCTTAATGGGGATTTATAGTGGCAAACATGGTTTCTTTATTATGGTAACTTAAGTTAAGCTCCTTAACAGAAGGGCTCTATCAGAGGGTACTTGGAGGTCCTGGTCAATCCCACGAACCGAGAACCTTCTTGTGGGTCTGGGTGGCACTGCCCCTCACTAAGAGAGCCAGACCCTCACACAAGGTTCTGAAGGTGATGATGCGGTACATGAGAGTTTCCGAGGGCCCAACATCGACTAAATACCAGTCGTACAATCTCATCTAAAGACCCCGATAAAGGGAAAGACACTTTTCATGACTTGTCTAACCTCCAATTTGCTGGGTGTCCAAGTGCCTCTAAGGTGACGTGCACAGGAACCCCTTGAGTACCGACAGTTTCGACTTTCAATACACGGAACCCCAGCGATCTCATGAAAAGGTGCAGCGCCACGAGCAAGTGGTAGATTGGACAGCGCAGTTGCGACCCAGCTGCAAACTGCCGTCAGGGGTCACCGGTTTTGGGGCTTAGGGTGCAGTATCTCGGGTTTATAGGGGTTTAGGGTGTATGGAGGTTTATCTTCCAGATGGTCCGCGGATGAACAATGCGTCGTTGTTGTATATTTGGCCCGACTGTAGCTCGCAAGTGATGTTTAAAGAGCCATCGGTCGGATGTGCCCGCCTGATTCCCGCAAGCTCCCTGAACCCGAACACATAAAACTCGAAATCCGGTAGCTTAGTAATTCTTTAAGTACCCCCAGTAGTACCCTAAGTCTTTAAGTACCCCTAGCAGTACCCTTATGCAACACTTCATAATCACCCTCTCGGAAGCCTGACATCTAACGGCAGCCGAGCCGAGGAAGCTCCTGAAGTCCGTTTGGATCAGTGGCCTTTTCAACTCCATGTCCTTCCTGACCTCCAACATGCAGGCCATGGTGGAATAGTGGTATAATTATAATTGGAATATAATAGGGCCCTAATATAATCCTGATAGTCACTATTACAGCGTGGGAGAGGATTTCGAGGATGCAGGGTTCAGGGCTTAGGGTTCATGAGTTCAGGGCTTCGAGTTTAGGCTTTAGGGTTTGGTTTGGGGTTTAGGGTTTAGAAATGGAGAGTTCGAGGGTTTTGGGGTTTTGACTTTAGGGGTCTTACGGCTGATATGGTTGAAGGGGTTAACGCTTTAGGATTTAATCACATATTATGTGCCTCAGTTGAGGCTGCAAGGAACTATGACTATGATTATACAGCCAGCACGTCATAACCATTATAACCCGAGTTACAGAGCCCTGTGATCCTCCACGTAGTGCCGTATTCTGAGGACCCCCGCCGTAAGCACATGCACCGCGACATGCTAACGCGTTGACACGCTTTGTTATAGTGCCGCATTTTGCTGCTACTTTATATACTGGTTTAACCCGCCAAGCAGTGTGGAAAACACGCTGCAGAGTGCTTTCGTCAGGGCTAGAGAACCGGTTAGTGTTCGCCTAGGAGTTATAATTTGCATTCATGTCCTATGATGTGCGCAGGACTGCGGCTACGTCCCCGTTTAGGTATGGTTTAGGCCCACTGTGAATTTCAATACATTGGCCTCCTTGACTGAATCCCGCCGTACAGCCAGCATATGGCTAAGAATTCGTGCAGTAGTCCTGAATCCTGCCAGTACATGGGGGGCGTGCCTCTGAATCCGCCAGTACATGGGGGAAGGCATTTTGGGGTCTTCTGAGGTCCTGGTGGTCGTCTTGGTGATCGTGGTCGTCATGCAGCTGTATCACCGTTCGGGGATCCACACTGTCATGATATAATCACTGTCTCTGTACTTGTGTTACCCCCCAGTTAAGTATCATATCGTTGGTTGCTAGGTTATGGGTACTACCATTTGGGCTTGTATATAGGTGGGAGCAGTGGCCTCAGCGTGAACGCTACGGGACTCCTGTGGGGTCAATATCACTGTTAATGTAAGGGTCTTAATAGTGAATTCGAGTAATTCAGGTTGGTGGGGTTCCTTGGTATATTCGTCTTACATTATAGCATTATATCTACCCCCAAACCCTATCTAATCATTACCCATAGGCCCCATAGTAGTTCCTTTTTGGGGTGCATATTTGGAATCCTATAAGGTAATCCCAAAAAGGAACTACCATGGGGCCTATGGGTACGGCCCCTATATCACATCTTCATCCTGTGGTGGGCGCTGTTTGCGCAGGTCGCGGCTCGAAGCAACAACCTGCCGCTGGATTACATGACGAACAGGCTGGGTTCCTTTAATGAGGGTCTTTCCAGTGCTTCTAGGCGATTTAGGATTTTTGGTTTAGGGGTCTGTGCCCTAGGATTTCGGAAATAAGAGGTAAAGCATTGAGGCTTCCGTTCTAGTGCTGCTAGGAGTGCTGATCAAGCTTGTGGGGTCTAAGGCTGGGATTTCGGGCTCGGAGCATTGTGGGTGTTGGGATTTCCGATTCTTTTGGTGCTAGGATTTGGGGTTCGGACATCGGAGTCTGGGGTGCGGTTTTCATGTTTCGGGGTGTGGGTTATTGGTTTTCTTGGGTCAGGAGCCTGGTTTGTGTTTTGGGCTTTGGGGGTTTGGATTTTTCTGGCTTAGGAGCCTGGTCCTGGTGGGTTCTGGATCAGGGTTGTCGCGGTGTTTCCGCTGCAGGATTGAAGGCTAAGTTAAGCTTATAAGGTTAATGTGGAGCCTGGCTTAAGTCTGGGGTCTGCGCAGCTAGTAATGTCATACGCTTGTAATGCGTCCTTACAACTTTTGTCGATGTAAGATCGTATGAGCCCCTGCATGAGTGTTCTAATTGTAAGGGCCCCTACTTTTCAATGGATTTTGTCTGCCAGGTGCCGCTTCTACAACATCCGCGACTTGGCGGAGATCACCGGCGTCCCGGCACAGGCCCATCGTCGCGGGTTCTATGTGGTGTATGTGTGTGTGTGTTTCCTTCAGTCTCGAAATATTCAACACATGCCCCTCCTTTGCGCATTCGGAGTCTGCATATACCACACAATGCCTGCATTGGGCTATGCGGCTATTTGGAGTCTTAGGGTTGGAGGGTTGCATAACATCCAAGACACGTGCAGTGGTCAACTCAGCACGGTTCAGTATGCTCCCAGATCTTCAGATCGCTGTGTGTGGGAACTTGGTTGCTTACACTGGTTACTTAGAGGGTAGCCATTCTTATGCCTACCCTCTGATCAACCCTAAATTAAATGAACATGGGACCACATACCCCTTTTTGAAGATACAGGGAATGTCCCTGCTATCACAAGTGTGGGTTCGAGGTGTTGTGGCCGGGGCTCTCCACCTCAGCCCACCTGATGCTCAAGGTCCCGCTAAACCTTAAACCCCGAAACCACAAACCCCAAACCCATCATGTCCTTTGCCACTGGTTGTTGCTCTCACCGATACCCTACGCAACAGACCCTAAATGCTAGACTTACCTGGGCATTAAAGATTTCCCCAGACCTCCTCATTCATAGTCACACATCATCTAGGACCCTAGATGACTTTCAGTCCAGGTGAGTCCTTGACCAGGACCAAGTATTCAGGTGCTATGCGAGATCCATTCATATGTGTGCATGTATGTGTGTGTGTGTGTACGTGTGCGCGTGCATGTGTGTGTGTGTTTGTGTGTGTGTGTGTGTGTGTTTGTTTGTTTGTTTGTTTGTTTGTTTGTTTGTTTGTTTGTTTGTTTGTGTGCGTGTGTGTGTGTGTGTGTGTGTTTTTCGTCGCTATGTATGCTTATGACCTCACATCTTGTCTGTACCTTGGCCCCAATGTACCTGTAGGGAATCCCTTTCCTACACCAAGCGCCAGGGCGTGAACGTGCACGGCCTGTTCTTAGAGGGCGCGGGCTGGGAAGACGGCAAGGGCGAGGATGAGGCGGTTTACTCTTAGGGGTACTTAGAAACATTTTTGTAATTTTTGGTTATTATAATCCCTAAGAAACAGTTAAAATTGTAATTTTTGCTAGGGTTCTAAGTTCAGTATAGTTACCTATAGTCTCCATAGTAGTTCATTTTTTGGGTTAACCTATAGGATCCCGAATATATAATTGGTTAAACCAAGAAAAGGAACTACAATGGAGACTATAGGTAGGGTTTAAGTGAAACCCTAAGCGTTCAGGGTTTGTGTCAGGACTTAGGTTTAGGCTTATAGGGTTTAGGGTTTAAGTCTGGAGCAACCCAGGATAGCATCCCAGCCTTGTCTAGGGACTTGAAGTTTGAGTGTTCGTCTCCATTCGAATGTTGGTGCCTAGTCTTTGAGCGCTCGGAAACGGCCTAGGCCTGTGTTCATGGCTACCATATAATAATCATTATGATGTGATATAGATTAAAACATATATTTGAAATTCTGTTTCAAGCAGAAGGTGCTCACATCACAGCAGCAGCTGTAGCAATTCTGGACGCCACACCGCAAATGCGAACCCTTGTTGCAGACATTGGTTTAGGGTTTAGGGTGCGACTCGAATTTCTTGCTCACCTGAAGCTACAAGCAAGGACCAGCTCTTCCAAGTGAGAGATCGGCCAGCAGCGGGAACTCTCTTCACTTTGGGCTCGAGACCCGCGTCCCAAACCTCTGCAAAACTCTCTTTTAAACTTAGCAGTATAGTATAGAGTCCACATGGCGGTGGTTTCAAGTGCCTCTCGATGCTTCTGGGGCGCACAGCAGATCTCCACATTAACTTACCCCGAGGCTCTAAACCCAAAAATGAAAGGCACTCGAAACCATGACGCAGATGCAATCCGACAGCGGTAGACCTTGGACCCTGACTCAGGGCTACATCACGGAAAGCAAGATGAAAGATCTGCATCCGACAATGCCGGTACCGGGTCTGATTTGATGAGTCTCAGGGAACGTTTTCAGCCCTCAGCCTTCACCCCCTAAACTCTGAACCTCTACAACCTAGCCCCTCCACCCTGTGCGAAGCTTTCAGGCTTAAGCAATTATGTGGGGCCGTATGCTGCGGTTGGCAGGCAATGTGCCAACCCTAAGCCCTTAACTCTTCATCTTTCCTTTACCTTTGGTGGAGGGCCTAAACTTCGATTTTATTTGCGTGCGCATGTTGTTGCCTCGTAGTCTAAGAGCCGTGCCACCTTCACTCCCGTACTGGGGCCGCTGAGATTTGCAACATCTTCGCCGTGCACATCAGCGAGATGGATTGGAACGCGATGTACCACTGCAGCTTAGAAAGCGCTTGGCAAAGATCTTCTGCAAACTTTGTCTCTAACTGCCCAGAACTCAGAGCCCCCCCGCCAGCAGCAGAAGCAGCAACAAGGGCGGCAGCAGCGACAGCAACAACAGCGACCAAGCAACCACAGCAAAAACTATAACAATAGCAGACGTCACAGCTTGAGCAGGCTCGTCAGCAACAACAACAGATAAAGAAGACAGCAGCGGCAGCAGCAGTAGCGCAGCTAGCATCGGTGGCGACAGCAGCAGCACCACCACCGCTATCCTCACCCCCACCCACAACAACAACAAGAGCACGAACAATATTTCCAGCGCATCAACGAAAACAAGAGCAAGTGTAAACATGCACAAACAGGAAGCTACCAATACGTGACAACAGCAAGGGACACCGGCAGTGACTGTCAGCAATGATCGGCGAAATGCTTTGGATCATGCCCCCAGTTCCTAGCTTTGATGGTGAAGACGTTCTCTGCACCACCATGACCAGCGATACTGTCACAATCGTTGAGTAATCTTGTGGAACGCACTTCGCCTGGCGCATTGCAATCGGAATGCTGCGATTCTCCTCAACATGTCAGTTCCGGTCTCCTGTTTGTTGACAGGAGCCTCCTTCTGTGTAGGATCTATATGAGGCCGGCATATCGGCCTTGTAACCTCAGGAGCCAAGGGTGCACTGCGTAGTCCGTGTACAAGCTCGCCAGATTAAAGCCGAGGGTTTGTAGAACCCCTTGAATCGCTCGCAGCTCATTCAGGCCCCGTGTTCTCGACGTCGCTTCGTGGGGCAACTTTCATCTTCCAAGCCAACGTGCGTCCCTGGGCTGGAGGACTGAAAAAGTCCGTGTACCTTTAAAGGCTCCTGTACGGGGTTTTGTTATGCAGTTCTACAAACGGTTTCATAGGGGTTTAGTCCGGGGTTAAGGGTGGTTTTGTCCGGTTTAGGGTTTAGGGTTTTTATACTCATTGGGCACATCTCGCTTTTGTTGGGCTCGGTCTACCGAGTCTACCGGCTACTGCATCGGCCTCGAATGCAAACTCCGGTTTCAGGTTCTAGGGGTTTTAGATGACCCCCTCCCCCCTCAAATACAAGCAAAGGCCAAACCCCAAAGCCACTTGATACTGTTGATGGACAAGATCCTGCATTACCCATTATAAGGAATATACCATAGGTATATTCCCTATAAATTTTAGAGGGAATATACCATAGTTCCCATAGTTCATTTAAACTAGGAACTATGGTATATTCCCTATAATGGATAATGCAGGATTTCGTCCATCAGCAGTATGGGATGCTCTGTGCGTTGTTTCTTGCAGCTTATCCAGGCTTTTCATCCCGTGGCACCGCTTCCTACGATAAGGAACTCCAGGGGGTTTCTATACCAGGACCCTCCTTGTACCCTCAAATATGGGTATATGGTCCCAAATAAGGGGCAGTTAGGGTCTTATAGAGGGTAGATGGGGGGTCTAGGTAAAGGTTGTAGAATCATCGTAGGAGGGGTGTTATTGAAGTTCTACCAAGTTCCGGTTTGCGGTGTTTTCGGAGGGTTGGCAGGTCTCTGTTTTGGTGGTTGCACTGTGTAAACTTAGGGGTACTTGGAAATATTTTTAACTTTGGGTTATTATAATCCCTAAGAAACAGCTACGATCTTAATTGTTGCTAGGGTTCTAAGTTCAGTATAGTTAAAGGGAATAACGCCTGGAATAGACAAGGTTGTAAGGTTGTACTATGGGCCACAGTACATACCACCACACAGAAACTGAATGCTCACACATGCATACCTTCCAAAAGCTCGGAAATGCAGTAAAACCGCAGGCCACGCCTCCCGAAAGGCCCTAATGAGAATCCTGACCCCCAGACTCTAGCGACACTCCAAGTACAAAGCGCAAACGTCCATTCCCCAAATCCCGAAGCCCTCATCCCGGAAGCCTAAACCCTAAACCCCAAAGCCCCAGAGACCGCATCGCGTCTCGGAACCCTAAACCCCAAACCCTAAACCCCTATACCCTAAACCCTAAACCCTAAAAACCCTAAACCCCCTATGCCCTCAACCCTAAACCCTAAAAACCCCGCCTTCCTCATTCCTTGAGGCATGGACCCAGACGACAACGAATACCGTTGGGTCCTCGCAGGCGCTGCGATGCTGACCCAGGCCGCAGAACGGGTGTATCGGAGGCCTCAAATGGTGGGATGAAGGTAGGTAGTATTGAGGATCCCTTATTTAAGGACTCTTATTTGGGAATATCCCACCTACCTTCATCCCACCTTTTGAGGCCTCCGAGTGTTGGGCTTATAGGGTTTAGGGGTCGAGGGTTTAGGGCTCAGTTTATCGGATGTAAGTCGACGGTATATGGGGGTTACAGGGCATAGCCCTCGAACGAGTAGGTCTCCGGATCCCCAGGTAGGGCGTCAAAATCTAGGCTCTTTTTTTGACTTTCGGGCTGCAGGCTTTGAGGATCAGGCGTAGGGTACATCGTCTTACTCTTTGATTCAATCCAAGGGAAAAAGGAGGGACCCTTAATAAGGACCCCTATGTATATACCCCTAATATAGCTATTATATACCGACAAATAGCCCATTATAGTGTAGGCGTCCCGATTAAGGGTCCCTCCTTTTCCCCTTTGATTCAAGGGCAGGGTCTTCCGTTCTACGCCGGGTTCCGAGTCAAATGATCACGCTACTCTCATGGGCAGGGGCGCGTGTGAGCACTTTGTTTGTTGATTGCAGTCCTAAAAAATCAACCCGCATCCCTAAATCTCAAGCTGCATACCCTTGACCCTGAGCCCCGTGCTCTAACCCCTAAAGCCAAAACCCTAAACCCTCCGGTTTTCGTGTCTCCCAACCGCTTGTGTCTCCGAACCGTTTTGCGCTAAGGAAAACGAACCGCTGAGGCAGACCGCCGTATCCTTCATAGAAGCCTGAAAGAAATCTTAAGGAACCCTTGTAGGTTGTAGGACTTTCATGGAACCCCAATATACCACCGACGACGCCCCAAACCCGAAATCCTTTTAACCCTAAATCGCAAAAGCCGTAAACCCGTAACCCTCGTCACCGATGACTCTACTATCTTGGGGGTTCCTTATTATTGTAGTTAGAGTATACTGGGCTCCCAAACCCTAGCCCTAGTCGAATTATTTAGGGTCACCCCCTACCCCCCCATACCCCCAAACCCTAAACCCTGAACCGCTCGACCCCAAGCCCCAAACCCCCCCCCCCCTTACCGATGAGGCAGACTAGTCCATCATGGCACTCCGACAGCTTTGGCAGCTTCTGAGTCTCAGCTCTTGCGGACCCCTCGGTCGGGTCCCGGCGGTCCCATAGTCTAAAGAGGGTTACGTGTTTAGGGTTTAGGGGTTTATGGTTTAGGCTTTTAGGGTTTAGGGGTTTATAGGGTTTAGGGATTTAGGGTTTAGGGTTTTATGTTCATTCCACTGGTTCGAGCTTCTTCGTCTTGTTGTTATGACCACCATTATTGATGTAGTGTGTGGTATCGTCGCTGTCATGGTGATGACTGTTGGTACTCTGAGTATGACTAGCATCATTCGTACGTTCGCTAGTTTGGACGTATGATTGAGTATCATTATTAAGCATGCAGCTGTATGGTCATCAGTATTACTACGGTTATTGGTATGAATGTTGTTGCCTTTTGCATGGAATTCGGGTGTGATGGGTGCTGTTAGTTGATTGAGTTACGGCATTATTATCCGTATCGCTAATTCAGTTTTTTTTTACTGCGGTTTCCGTGTTCGTTGTACCACGCGTTGAATGCTGTTTTTTTTCTCTTGCTGCATCTTGTTCTTGCTTCTCGTAGGTGACTTGCTCTCTCTCTCGTTCGCTCTACTACACTAGTTGTTACGCATATACAGTAGTGTCACCCTGTCGTCACTGTTGTTATCATCTGTAACGTCAGCAGACTTTATGTGATCATAGCGCCGCCTTGCAGCAGATTGTTGCAGCACCTTGGCTATAGAGGTTGAGGTGCTGGATCTTGCCGGGGCTCCATGCTTGTGTAATGGCAATTTTCGAAGTGAGCCTTGACATCCCGCCTTAAACTCCACGTGTTTTCAGTTCTCAATGGGCTAGAGTACCTTCTGCGAGTTTTATCATGAAGGATAACTGTCCACAACAACTACTGAAACTACTGAGGGCTGAAGTGGCAAACCTCATGGGAGAGAATAGCTCGCCTCACCTTGTCGACTTACCTATCCGAATCCTCTGTGTTTCCACCCATCGTACGGTAAGCATCCCAATTTGGAATAGACCTCCATGTCACACTGGTGGTCACCTATTGGGGTGAAGATGGTTGAACACGATTTTCAGAGTAGGCTGCACGACATTTCCGTTGGAATATCATTATCGTAACCTCTTTAAGGTAAATTATAGGGGATCCTACCATTAATCCATATTCCAACTTTCTGGAGTTCCCTTTAACTAGAGACAATGGAGTCAGCTGCATAGACTTGTTCTCGTGCCGGGACCGAGCATTGCCGCAGGACCTGATGCCGTCGTAGAAAGGGCTCGCGTGAAGACTTCGTTTGGTAAGTTGTGGGCTATGGGAACACGCCCTGTGCTGAACAATATGCTAGACAACTAGAACATCCCAGGCCATAACCCTTAAGTTGCTAAATCTTTCATCTCTAAACCCTAAACCATCCTAAGCGCTCCCCCGAGACTCCAACGCATCCCAACCACCAGCCATCCGAAAGACAAAACCCCAAATCTTGAGTCTGAACCCCCCCAAGCCTCGAAGCTCGGGCGATGCTTCGGCCGCGTTTCCCATGGTTCGGTCTTTCTGCACCTGACCCACTAGAGCAACTTCTGCCTAGGTTGTACTGTACGGGCCTGAATGATTAGGGTTTTGGGCGCGGTTATCCAATCAGCGTAATCAGGGACCCTAAAGAATAATATTGACAGCTGGAAACTTTCCAATGTAGACGGAAAACAGGCCCTTTAAAACAGAGAAAAAATCTTGGTAGGCATTTATGCATCCATATTTCAATTCGAAGGGTGTAGGGGCCCAGGTCCAGGGCTAAAGACTTGAAACCTCTAGCATCTACCTTGACCCACGCTACCCTAAGGCCCCAAAGTAGTTCCTTTTTGGGGATCATATATAGAATCCTAAAAGGTAATTTCCCAAAAAGGAACTACTTTGGGGCCTTAGGAACCCTAAACCCTACCTTGACCCACTCTAGACCATGGCCTTCTGCATTGCCAAAGTTTGTACTAAATCCTCTGTTCGGGTGTACATACGGCTGATGATATAAATCCTGCATTACCCATAATAAGGAGTATACCATACTTCCCATAAATTAGGGTCCTTAAGGTAGTGCAAGGTTTACATCATCATCAACAATACATAACAAATATATCCTACAATGGAGCAGGTTGCGTTCTTCTGGGATGCATATACGTTTTGCGCGCCAAAGATAATACCAGGCGAGGGCTGTGGGGCTAGCTTTACAGTCCTATCTGAAGCTCAAAACTTAGAACCCTGCCTGGTCAGGGATCTGTATAAGGAAACTATGCTAATTCCTACGAGCATTTCGGGGACCAAGGGTGTAGAACAAAAGGTCTGGGTTTAGAGTTAAGCGTTTGGGGGGTTTAGGGCTGAGGTATCTAGATGGTTTGCTGATTTTTAGATGACTCGGGGTATGGGGGTGTTTTTTCTGGTTTTGGGCCAATGGTTCAAGCTGGGAGTTTGCATCGTTCTGCAATCCTGCTCGGGTGATGCTTGGCCTGAAACATAATTAGACTATTTGTTTGAGGTGTATGATACTCATAGCTCCCACAAGGAGCCCCCAAATACAGTATCGGTAATCATATAGGCCCCAGTCTCAGCCCCACTTTGTCGCCACATGTTTGTTTGAGGCCTGGCATGGCTTAGCTTATATAAGTTTTTTCAGGACGACTGCGTTGCTCAACAGCGTGGCGGGTGTTTCACTATGTGCATGCCAAAGTAGTAATTCTATATGCCCCAGGGGCGATTGATCGCTCCTCGGTTGGACGAACGTGCAGTGCGACAAGGTCAGTGGGACGAGCTCCGAAAGCAATAAACAGATGAGCCACAATAGATGACTTGGGAACATCGTTTCCGTAGACTTCCTTCCTCGCTAGATGTGGTATCAGATGGCGCAAAGTCGGCTATCATTAGCCGCCGCAAATATGGGGGATACCAGGCCACATCTTAGAATATGTACTTCCAAGGATATGGAACTCACCCGAACTCCAGAAGATCACTGCAAACTGTTCAAGAATGGATGTTTGCAGTCTGGTTTTTGTAACTCAGGAAGATCCGTGTGAGTTGGGCTCACTTTCAGGTGCAGGCGTCAGGTTTCAGGGCTCAGGAAAGTACTCAGTGCACGTGGAACGCCCCTTAGCGACTCCTTAGTCACTGAAGAGCCCTAGATCCTGAATCCTTCTCCCCAAACCCTAAACCCTATAGAGTCCTAAATCCCTCTACCCAGACCTACACCGTCTAGACCGTAAGCCCAAAGCCATAGCTTGTAAGTGGCATGGGGAAGCCCGTGGCTGGATCACTGTAAGTTCCCATGGTCGGCGCTGTGAATCTTTGTGAAGTGCGGCCACGGTTTGGAGTCTTGGATTGTTCAGGCTTGAGACTTCAGGATTTTGGGTTTAGAGTGTGTTGGGTTGTGCTTCAAGGAAGATGCGCTCTAGGTTCAAATTCTCAAGCCTCATTCCTAAATCCCCGTTGAATCTAGCTTGGCGGTTCAGCGCTGAAGGTACGAGGTGGGGAGGATCGAATCCTAATCCCAAGACCGACACCCTCCACACGTGTCCGCATTGATGCAGTCCTTTGATCATTGCTGCCTGCTCACATCCTTAGCCACCCCAGGTGTTTTCTCATGCTAATTATAACGTGCAGTTTCAGTCGGTGGAGTACTCCCAACATATAACCTCAGCAGTGGGATCCTGTCTAACAGAAAACCAATCCACAAGGAATTCCCGGACTTTTCTCATAGCCATGGTTCATACTCCACTCCCTAGCTGAAGACCCACTCACACACAAAGGGCAGATTCCTGCTGTAAAGGATATCATTTCAGGGATACTTGTAGGCCGGTTAACCCTGCAGATCCTGGTTTATAGTCTTTGAGGTTCCTGGTTTGTGGGTTTCACGTGGGTCTTACCTGAATGACCCACTGTGTTCTTACGATTCTCTGATCAAACTGCAAAATGCTCACACTCGGACATGGCCCAGGGAAAGTGGTTTCACTTCACAGAAATTCAAGTTCAGACGCCCCGCCCGCGACCCTATAAAGGGTAGGCAGCCTTGTGCACCGAAGCAATGGGACTTCTAAACTTCTAGGCTTGGGTTCACGAGTTCTTTGTTTGTTCGTACACTTAAAGACAGCAAGTCTTAGCCGCTTAACACCGAAGCTCATTTCCCAAATTTACGCACTCTAAAGGCCCCGAATTCCAACCCTAAACGCCCTAAGCCCTACATCACCATGTGCTTCATCCTCAGAATCTACACAGTTTCTGGGGTGAAGCTACTCTTTCGGCTTCATGTGCCCAAGCCCCCCTGGGGCGCATAAGGGTTGGAGTTAAGCGTTGAGGGCTTCTGCTTTCGTAAGTGGCAGTCACAATGAGAAGAACATTACATCATGCACGCTGCACCTGGCAAACGGCGAAACCTCAGTCCATCTAACATCTAAACCCGAAGTTATGCAAACACCCAAACCCTTAGCCCCGCAACGGCACATGGAAGAGGTGTTGGGGTCGGAGCGTTTGTGCATGGAGGGGGCTCGAATTTTCAACGGCGGTGAATGGGCTGAGGTGGCTCTTGAGACCTACATTCGATTTATATAGGGCTAGAAACCACAACAACTTGCACCCACACCCTTAGCCCCCCCCGCGCCCCCTAAACAAAGAAATTGCATTTAGGGGTAGGGCTTCGGGTGTAGACAGGGGGTTCTAGACAAGCTGCAGCATGCCGCAGCCTCTGGCTAAACCACTTTTGCATCAACGCCCCCTACTTTCTAGACCCGAAGTAGAGTCATCCGAGCAGAGCCGCACCATCACAAGGTTTCATGCCTCCTCGCCACCGCCTGTGACAGATTTGCGCAGGTCTGACGAAGATCCAGCTGCTGCAAAGATTTGTGTATCACGTTGCAAAGCGTCGGGGGTTGAGACATGCTGTGACACCCCTTATATATAGATGATATGATATATTATAATACACACAATATAGTATAGTATAACTATATATATATGGTTT